TACAGATTAGGTATACACACACACACACATAGGCGTACGGCGGCGTGGTGTTGTATCAGCACGTCGCCGCACGCGTCCACACTTGGAACACTTGGAACGTGTCCAGACTTTATTTATTTATACGGAAATTTGGTCAAAAAATAAGTACCTATTTTCTTTACATAATTCGAATGAGAATCATGTACCGAGTATTCTCCTTAAATATTGATAGTAATTCACCAGTCACCCTGTATATATATGCAAAATATATGCAAAAATAAAATCTTTCTCAATAAAGAAAAATCGTTAGAATTTATAAAGTGAAGAGATCAACTAAAGATAGATAAATAGAAAGTAATCAGCTTAATATACAAAAGTAATTATTAATTAATACAGTGATAAATTAATACAACAGAATTTACCTATTTGAAACAAAAATTAAGATATTCCTGATTAACATATGCACAAGATAACAAAAGAGTACAACTATTACAATAAAACTTCTTTTCGAATTTCACTTGCGTATTTTTATTTTAGCCGTGGTTTTGATTACTTTTCAGTGGCTACCTATTACCTTTGGCTTGTCTTTCCATGAACGGGCAACCGGTATTTGAATCTCGCATTTAGGTCAGTGTAGAATGTTTTCCATCGTCCAATAAACATGCACTTTCAACCTGGGAATTACTCATCATAGTAATATGAAAGAACCTACTTCAAAAAAATACTTAAACAATATTTATTTCCACCCTTTGTAACTTTTTCATTATATGCCATAAACAGTCTTATCAATAGTTTAGTTAGTCTAAATTAGATACTATTCTTTAGAGCAAAGTATCTTTATCAGTAACCCAGTTTCACTTATATTTTATATACATCTGTGATAAAAATCTAAAAGGTCGTTAATAGTTTCATAACCATTGAGTGAATAATTTTTACAGGCGTTTGAATTAGTCAGTCTTCAAGGAAAACACATTATTACTATATACTATACTGATATACTATACTATATACTATACTATACTGATGTATGTAGTATGGCTGAAGAGCCATCTTTAAAAACTAAATTGAAAATTAGAATAGAATAAGGAATAAAAATCTATTAACCCAATTCCCTAGTGACTGGTTCATGTGGCTTATTGTTAGTAGATAATGAAATTGTTACAATTTGTATTTCATAAATAGGAATAATAATTAATCGTTCGTAGTTCGTATTTCCATTTTGTTGAGATACCACCAAGTTTTTAACAAATTAAATAAAAATAAGAGAAGTTTTGAATAAGTAATAAATTATACACAATATAAAACATAAAAGCAATACTAAAGAGATACAAAAAATATTAATGTAGGTACTTCTCAGGCCCAACACCGTTGTTTATATAAAATATGATAATAGGAGTGAGGTTGCTGACTTTGTGGATCTAAGACATGGCCGTATGGAAGAATGATGGCATTACAATCCTAACATCGAGACAATCCTATAGTGTTTGATAATAGGTTCTATAAATCTGACGTTTATTACAAGTATTATGTATTATTAAGACTACGAAGTTTTATAGTTTTCCGGTAATATCTGTCTACCGTAAAAAGCACCTTATACTATAACAAATAAAAAAAATATTTATGCGTATTACAAACTGATCGTCATACCATAAGATAATACATATATGTATAAGGGAATCGTACGAAGATGCTTTGTAGACAAGACGTCGATCAAAGTTGTCAAAGTCATTAGGGCTAACAGCTATAGTCAAGTCGAAAAAATATTGGTCATCATCGGACCAAAGATTACGCTCAAGGCAAATCTATTCGAACGTACTAGTAGAACGCACACTTGTTGTACCTTTACCTCTTGCCTTTAGAATACGTTAACCGACCACTTTACTTTCTCACTTTCATCTTATTTACGCTAAAAGATTCTTGTGATTTTAATTTTTTTTAATCGCTGGCCACATTATATTCAACATCACGAATACAAACGTTGAATATGGACTAAGCTTTTATCACGAACTGTCTCGAATCTAGTCAAACAAATATTATTCTTTTTTTATTACGACACACAATTTGAGTCACAATTACAAAAATGAAATTTTTGCTCTAAGAGTGATTTTTAGTTCATTAAATTTCAAAGTGGTCGGTAAATATTGACCAGGCTTGTGTCAAGTAGCGATAGTAATGATTTGTGTTACTAGAACTAAATGAGCTGTGCATTTAATTATAAAAAGTATTTGATAAATTTATATTTGGCTAGAGGTTTCAGAATGATTTTATTTGTGACTTAATCACCCAATGTATTAATGTGTGATAATACTTTTTTTATTAATTACAAAGTATTTTTAAATTAAGATACGGTAATAAAATTATCTATCATACTTTAAAAGTTAATAAGGAATACCTAATATCACGATTTGTGTATCTGATATTTAAATATTAGCGCTCCTCACATACATAGGTTTGTAGTAATTCACAATGAGATAAGTAGATGGCGCTATTATCGTCAAGTCTTCCCGTTTATAAATAGGATAAACCGCGCCACCCCAATGTTTATCGGGACTGAAGCGTGCATGCAGCAGCATCTTCCCTACTTACAAACAGTGTCAAGTCTCTGTGGATTCTCTAGAAGGACAGAATATAAAAATTTAAGCCACATACGTGACACATAGGTCACTAGCTGTGATAAAAGAAAGTAATTGGTATACAAGCAAAGTCAAATAGTAGTCAGCTCTGTGTCATATTAAGATCTCAACTGTTGATTGCCAGATGAAAACTCAGACGCAGGTAAAGATGAAGAACAGAGAAGACTACTTAATGTACCGGCTAGTACGAGGACCATGCGTGCCGATGCTAATTGTTAAAAAAATATACATAGTAATTATTATTATAAGTATGTATAAATGTAAAAATATATAATTTTAAATACAAATGTATTATTTGCAAGTTATAACTTTAAGAATATTTAGCAATAATATTTAATACTATTTAATATCATTGTGCTCCTGTAAATAGTGTAAATATAGTAATCTATATATTTACAAAGCAAATATTGCCTACAGACTTAATTATAGGGGTTTATTACATAGTAAAAATAAATAAATAGTTTTGTGTAAAAAGATACACATGTCTTGTTTACTATTTGCTTTAGAATTATTTTTTTCCGTGACCTCAATATGGGTTTCATCATTTACGTCCCTATCTTCTCATATTAACACATCTACTTATTAAATAATACAATATTGCATTTTATTTTAACAAATAATGTTATCTGTAATTTTTAATATTTACCTTAAAGTGTTACGAACCTACATAATGTTATAATTTGTATATAAGACATAGTATTACAAAAAAGTATTACTAATAAATAATTAGAATGAAGTAGTGTTACAAAGAATAAACTCTGTTTAAAATAAAATTATGACTTATACTTAAAATCAATAATTATTTTACGAGATAAACATATGTATCTCGGTTTGTCATCATTGCTTACGATAATAACATTATAAAGTTTAATTACATAATTCTGAGACCAATTCCAAATTACACAATTGCAGTAAAAATATAAAAAAATGTTAATCAATCACAATACTAATCGGCATTCATTGTTTTGCATGTACGCGTGTTTGTATAAAGATATTGGTCTGTGTGTATTTATGTGCATTTGTGTGTTATAATAATAAATCAGACATAGTGTTCTATCTTTGCCTTTAATTCATTTTTATTAGTATTAATTCATATTTAATAAGTCTAAGTAATACAATAAGCCATTTTAGGTAATTGCGAAACGATTTATTAAAAATTTTCTTCTATATTTTGTGTTAATGTCAGTGTATCAAATAATGATATTTGACTTGTATGTCGGTTTAGTATTATAAATACGTTGCAATATATTTCGTGGATAAAAGTAAATATAGCATCATCATATCATAGTGCTTACAACGTGTCTCTAAGGTAATAACTGCAAATTTAATTATAGTTATTGAATATTTTGTGGACCTTGTAAAGAAAACACTATTAACAGTTTCTCTTAACGATTTCTACTCTTTCTTTGTAAACATAGTACTGCTGTAACGAAACTGAATATCTGGTCTTAGTGTTCTGGGCTTTATTTCAATTTAATTATTAAAATAAAATGTGCAATATTTTTAAAAAATATCGTTTGCACACTGAGATCTAAGATATCTTTAGAAACAAGATAAAACAACAAAGGAACCATAGAAAACAGTTGACATTCTTGAAACAGGTAAGTAGATTATTTTATGCAGGTTTTACAATCAGATAAGTAAGAATGTTAATATATTTTTTTTTAAATCATTCACACAATTTTATGAAGATAAAAACATGGATCGAATAATATAACTTTTTTATGAGTCTATATATGATAATAATAATTATTTTACACTCATCATTTTAACTACAATATATTATAAAAACTAGTTGTGAGTTTAAAACAACGGAAAAAATTATTAAGTAACTCAGTGTGTTATCTTTTTTCTGAACGGTTTAATATATTTTGATAACATTTAACATAGATATATATTAATTATTTGAAACAATTTTACAAAAATTTAAACTCTTCAACTTTGGTTGAGCAAGCAATAGCAATTTTATCCACCGTAAAAGGGCCATCTGAAAAGAATAACCACACGAATGTAAAAATAAAAATTAATCAAAAATATAATTTTTACACGTAATCGAATTCTGTCGACTTGAGAACATAATATAAAAAAATTACTTGTAGGAGACACTGTTCAATATGAATTTTCTTTTTTTTTTTTTTATGGGAAAAGGGGGCAACTGAGCAGACGGCCTACTTGATGGTAGGTAGTAACCGTCGCCCATGGACATCCGCAACGTAGATTTGCGGATGTGTTGCCGCCCTTGATTGGGGAAAAGGAGGAGGAAAAGGTGGGAAAGGGAGGGAAAGGAAAGGTTGGGAAAAGGGAAAGGGCAACCGGCTCTCTCACTCACCGGACGAAACGCAGCCTTTAAAGACTACTTTACTTTAAAGCCTACTTTCTTCCGGCATATTACTTATCCACCTTATACAGTAATTTCACATAACGTTGCTGATTAGAGCTATAGGAGTAACAAAAGTAGTTATTTTGGTTACCTATTTGAAACCACTCGTTGTAAGGTTTTCCTGAATCTTGACGAGATGCTACAACAGCAGCCCTCATCGCAAACGGTACAGCAACACCCATACACGTTGCCGGTTCGCCAGTCGCTAGATTAAACGTATTTAATTTAATTTTGTACACATATTAATACACTTATATTTTATATTATACTAGCTTTCCGCCCGCTGCTTCGTTCGTGGAGTTCGGTTATATCGCGTTTCCAAGAGAACCTTTCAAAAGTCTGGGATAAAAACTATACTATGTTCTTTCTCAAGGTCAACTCTATCTCTGTACCAAATTTAATTTAAATCAGTTCTGTGGTTTAGACGTGAAAGCGTGACAGACAGACAGACAGAGTTACTTTCACATTTATAATATTATTAGGGATCTTTAATGTACATTTTATAAATATGTTTTACTTAAGTACATTATTTGAAAGGCTTAAATTGTTACTTAAACTGTTAAGTAGATGATAGGAGGTGGTACTAGTAGCTCATAACAAAGTCATGAAAATACTTACCCTTAGATCCAAGGATAGTTTCGTAACTAAATGATCGTTTTCTAAAATATATTCTCATATCTTGGGGAATGTCGGTGGCACAAGGAACCCAATAATTCCAAGTGCGGTTGGTTAGAACTTCACCTGTGTTAGGGTCATTTAGGATTTGTTCACAAGTATTGTACCCAACACCTAACGTAAACGCACCTTCTACCTGAAAAGGTAAACATTAGATTAGTATTGAAAACAGAATACACTAAGAACATAAAATAAGATATAGGCAGCTTACAAGATACAATATGAGTTACACAATATATATGGTTAAATATATATAAATTGAAATATTTCTTAACAACGTAGGAAAAACGACAATTTAATATCATTTTAAATATTATGTGAAAGCCTAATAGCCGTTGAATTTATTTTCAACATTTGTTTTTAATTAATACATAGATTTCAAAATATTTACCTGCCCTCTATCTAATTCTGGATTTACACTTCTACCCACATCTTCACACAAATCAACTCTTTTAATCTCCCATTCACCAGTTAAAACATCTATTTCAACTTCAGCTAATGTAACCCCGTATAATGTGTATGTTTTAATATCTTTCTTTGTAACTATAGCATGTACTTGTAAGTCAACGTCCATTTGATGAGCTTTTTTTATTAATTGTTCCCATGTTGGGTTCACCATTTGATTTCTGATCGGTTCCAATCGTTCTAGTAATTGGTCACAACATTTTCGAATACCTATTACTATATTTTCTGATGTAAAACTGCCTCCAGAAGCAAAACAGTTCGGTGACACAAAAGAGTCGTTTGGTTGAACTCTAACCTTTTCAACTGATATATTTAAAAAGTATGCACATACTTGGGCGGCCTTTGTATTAATTCCTTGACCCATTTCTATACCTCCGTGTGAAAAAGCAACTGTACCATCATCACTGTAAGCGCACATGTTGACTTCAAGGTATTGAGATCCAACCGTTTCCCATCTTAGAAGAGACAAACCCAGACCCCTCTTTTTCCATCTATTTTGTGAATTAAAAGTCGAAATTTCTATCTTCCTGACTTCATATTGTGATTTGTCCTTAATATTATCAATCATATCTACGATGTCACCGTGTTTATTTCTATCGATGTTAGCCATACGAACATCGAGAGGATTTAAATTCATCTCATATGATATTCTTTCTATTAAATGTTCAGCCATAGCGATATGTTCCAAAGAACCTTTAAACACATAGTGATTAGTAATTATAAAAATAAAACACATACATAATATTGATTGCAATTTTTACCTGGAGATCGACACCATGTGTTTGATGGCGTATCAGTGACCACGTTACTAGCCTTGTAGGTCCAACTATCAAGTTTATATACATTATTGAATATTCCGGTTCCCAGCATAATCAAAGGCTCGTTAATAATATATCCATTATCGCTGTAAAAATTATAATCAACATATTGTATGACACCATTCTTGCTTACGCCGGCCTATAAGAGAAATAAACTCTATAAGAATATTTTAAAAGAAAATAAGTTCAAAACTTCTTTGCCTTACTTACTTCGAAAGTAGTTGAGCACGGTAATCTTTTTCCCACTGCTCGCATATTTGTATTTAGATTTTGAATAAATCGACAAGGTCGGTTTTGTTTGTAAGCTACAAAACTACAAGCCAGAGCGACTTGATTAATCCTAGATATTTTGATGCCATAGGATCCTCCGAGATGACTGGCCTGAACTTTTATCCTGAAAAACTTATAGAAATGAAATTCGGCGATTCACAGCTGACAGTTTTTTTCTTATAAGCATTTATTGGGTTTTGGTTATCAAATTAATGATTCTAAAACCAATAGTTATAAACTTCAAATATTTTTCTAGGATGGTGCTGTGAATTTCAACTGATATAACTATCTGTTTGTGTGAGTGACTTAAAAGCAGTAAAGACCAAATTATTATTAGGATTTTTAAAAAGATCGTAGTTATATAATTAAAGTTTAGGTGAGACTAATTGTTGAGACAGATGAAAAGTATTTAAATGTTAAATTCATTAATATGAATGGGTGTATAGAAAATTAATTATAGATGCGGATTATCATGTATTGTACATTTAAGAAGAAGCATTTGTAGGGCCTTAAGAAGCGGATCCCAGACATTGAAATTAGACTAGCGTCGAAGTCAATGGGGTGTAGGAATATAGATAACAAAAAATGAAACATAATTTTTCATATACTACGCGTCCTAACTACTGGTTAGATTTGAATAAATTGTTACCTATTTGACACATACGCTCAACTTAAAGTCTATATCAATCCAGAAGCTATTATTTATTTAAATATTTGATATTGTTAAGGAGACATTCATATCTCTCATTTAGAGATTTATTGAATTAAAAATATCCCATGTGTTATTTTGGGTATGTAAATGAATTAAGAAAATTCGTCTATATCGGTATGATAGTTTATGAATGACTTGCTGTCACAGTTATAAGACTATTTAATAAATTTCACGTTAATAATATGCAATACATATTACCTGTTTTGATCTATTAATAGTGCTCTTGAAATGACAACATGGACCGAGTCGATCCATTGTGTCGAAGTGTGTACACTCAAACCATCTTCCGTTGGGAGCGTCACACAGACCAATGTTTCTATTGAAAAATGATACTGGGTGTAAATAGATTGTTCTCCCTTTATTAATTTTGAAACATCATTTCCTTTAGTGGTGGCTTCTTGAGTTCTAAATGAAGTTACTCTAGCTGGTTCACGTTTCGCTACGCCAACATCAATGACAGGTTTCTTCATATTTTTGTAAGTAACAGAAACTAAAGTAACAGCCTTCTCTGCTATACACTGTGAGGTCGCGACGATAATTCCAAGGGGTTGATTGTAATATTTTACTTCTCCATTACATAAAAATTCTTCATCTGTCGTATTGAAAACATTGACGGCTGGAACAAAACTATTCCTTCCTGGGATATCGGACGCCTTATAAAACGCTATTACTCCAGGTTCCTTCTAAACAACATAATAAAGAATATAACGGTTCTTTTTAGAAATACAAATAAAAGTGTATTTATTGAATAATACCTTGTAATATTTGAATTAGTGTAATTTTTAAAATTTATGATTTAGTTACACGTAACAATTAATGTTATAATTAAAGAATAATATACAAAATAAGATTTTCTAATTAAAAAGTACGTGAAATTATTACCAAAGCTTTGCTGGCGTCTATATTAACAATAGTTCCGAGGGCTACAGTAGATAACACGAAAGCTGCAAACACTTCACCCGGTTGCTGCTGCAGATCATCTACATACTTAGTTTCGCCAGCACATTGAACCTATGACAAATAATTTCAAAAGAATTAGTTATTTGAATTGAATGTTTTTTATGTAAAGCAAAATGCATCAAAATTATCTTTGATTTGTCGTTTATTGAAATTGTTTGATATATATTGATTTCCTTACCAATCCATTAAGTCTCGATATAGGTTTGGTCAAAGGCCACATCGAAGGATCGGTATCATAAACGAATTGAGCTTCTGAAACTTTTCGAGTTTCGTGGATCTTGATAGCGCCGGATATATAGCGTGGATGTAATTTACTCGGTGGACACAATGATAAGAGACCCTTAAATAAAATGATTATTATTTATTTAAATATATAATAATTCAAATTTGTTTTTAGGTCTTTGGTGAGCTAGATTTTAATCTCTTGATTGATGAGAAAACTTCATGTTTGAGCTGCTCGAGCTATTAAATAACTGTTATTTTCCTTTTCGTGGCCTTTTTTTTTTACTTACTTTCAAAACTAAGTGGTACTAAATCAGAATACTAGTTTTCATAGAAAGAGCTAAATCCATTAATATTTTTAGTAGAATTATTATAATATTATATGTTCAGGTACTGTTATTAATCAGTTACTTAGAAATAACTATAAATTTATAGTTATGTTTACATACATTTTCGTTTTTTATGTGATTCCAAACTATGTATATGTATATTATACTGAGTTTAATTAAAATATATGTTATTATTTTAAATATAATACTTTTTTAAATACTTCACTTAATTGAAGACAGTGAAATTTTAATACTACGTTTCATACATTTTATTACAAAATACCTTATAAAATAAAGCCAAAGCTGTTTGACGTCGATACGCTGCCGGTGGCATCGGTAAATTTTCTGTCACCTCAATTTCATTACTCAGTATAGCCAAAGCGCCTTGCAAAGTATCATTTTTAAATGGTTCTTTACCAATCATATATTTCTCAGTTCTTATTGACCTGTTGTACGTCGGTGAGAGCCCTCCATAAACGATCCTACATTCAATCACTGTTTCAGTTTTGTTCAGTTTGTACAGAAATCCAGCATTTATAAAAGCATGTGCATTTTGTGATCGTGGCATTATCTAAAACTCAAAAATAGAGAATAACGCTTTTGTTTAAAGTTAAGATACAGTTAGTGTATGACACAGACTCACTTTGTACGTTACTATTTTATTATCTCTACACAAAGGTGGAAGTAAAATGTTGATAATTATTTTTCCTCTCATATCTTCTTCCAAAAACGATTGCATAGTTATTATACGCTTTCTTCCAGGAGCTGTCACTGTATGTATATCATTAATATTTCATTATAATTATGGATTTAGAAAGATGTGACATCAAATATATTTAAAAAATAATCACAGTTTGATAAAAAGTAACTTGAACGTCGAGAGCATGCAGTTATTTAAATATAATAAGACACGCGTAATAATCCGAAAATGTTAGAGTCATTTATAATAATGATTTCCATATGATTCAATACTTACAAATAGTAATCTGCGCACCAACCGTCTCCAGAAGTAAATAAATATCTGACTCGAATTCTGGATGACGATTTTTCAAAATTAAGTTACCACCAATAGTTGCTATCTAAAATAAATCTTATAATTAGCTTCGATATTTATAAAATAGTTATTAATTGTGTATATTAATAATTAATTAAAAAACAAATACTTCTTGCTGAGAAGGAAAAATAGATGCATCATGTTATTTCGTTTACATAAGAACTAATTTGGAAAAATACACAAATCAAATTGTTATAATGCATTTTTTTATAAATTTTGTAATCAGTTCATGATAAGAAAATATGGATATATTATATGTATATACTTACATTTCTTATACTAATGTTGGCTACTGATTTTAAATGGTCGTATAGAATCTTAAGGTACGAAAAATTTTCAGTGCTAGATTCCACTTCCATTATATTCATAAATTCGGTAAGGGTCGTTGAACTCCCGATCACTAAATTCTGGTCTAAATAGTATTTTCTCAATTCAGTTATTTCATTAATATTTATAAGTACTTTTGGATACTCAAGTATTGGGTAAACACCTAAAAAGATTAAATATTTAGATTAGGCATCTGTTTTATGTACTTACTATTATTAAATTGGATAAATTGAGAAGTTAATTTTCGCAACAAATTATGTTACATTTCAGGCACTGTTTATATATTACACATTTAATCAAAAATTAATAGAGGTTCAAATGGATATACTAGACATTATTAAACTTAAGAAAATGCAATCTTTAGCTAAAGTATATTAGAGGAAATCTTTTTAATAGTAGTTCAAAAATTAAATAACTTTTCTTTATATTTTTATACATTTAAAAGTAAAAAATAATAATTCTAATTTTACTTCCTGTCACTGTGCATAAAATTATGTACTACATACTGATAATAAAATGGATAACATAGAATTTCTTACTATAATTTTTCTTATTTGCTTCTGGAACTTATAAGTAATAATACAAGAAATCTATCGTCACAACAAACCTTTTCCCGTGTTACCGGCTATCAACATATATGAATCTGTTCCTTTTTTATTCCATATAGCAAAAACGTCATCCGTATCTTCTGCGTTATACCAATCCCTGTTATCTTTTAACTTAATATGCAGAATATCATTATATATATGGTTTTTTGACACCATACACCATTCAAACTCGTCGCAACGACGTTGAGAACAAATTGATCCACTAGAGGAACATGTTTCTAATTTCAAGTCTTCAATATCCAAAATGTTGATTGGATTATCAGAATCTGATGAAAATCGCTTAAAAGTTTCCAATATTGGCCTATATCCTGTGCATCTGCAAATGTTGCTACCGAAGGATTGTTCTACTTGAAGCATAGTAGGTCTTCTGTTTTTTAATATACTGTAATAAATATAATTCAGTTATGTTAAAAAATGTTATAGTACTTAATAAACAACGGAAATACGAAGTAATTTTAATGATACCTGTACATAGCCATTATCCATCCTGGACTGCAGTATCCACACTGTGTTCCATTATTATCTGCAAGGGCTTTTTGCAGTACATGATAACCATCTTTTCGATTACCTACTTTCTCTATTGTGTTAATATCCCAATCGGCGCATGATGTTATAAGAACCATACACTAAAACAGGAAAGTTGTTTTATCATCTATTTTTTTTATCTACGTATTTCTGTTACAATTCTTGGTCAATCAACGGTTAAGAAAAGACACGAGTATATTACAATCTAACAAGTATTTTTTTTATGTAGAATTAAAACGTATTGTATACGCATGATAAGATGTTATTCAGAATGGAAGTAATTTTTTTGATAGGAAAAATTGACTTTTAAAAGAAGTAGTAAGACAAACAGCCACGCTTATAGCATAAAACTGAAGACTATCCAAGTAATTAAGATCTTTTTATTTAAAAGATAGCTTTAAATTTCATGTTAAATTTATGAAAAACTTCCAAAAAAAAGAAGTTTTCATTTAAACAGTTTTTTTCCAGTATATGTTACACGGTTACTGTCACATCTTAATGGATATTGATGTTTATTTACTTTGTAGGTCATGCGGAAGCGATATTCACATATAAAATTTTAAAAATATAAATTCAGTATCCTTTAGAAAATAAACAAAATCAAAAATGTACATATTTAAAATATTTTCTATATTATTTGCTTCAGAAGGAGTGTATTATTAAAAATGAAAAATACACTTATTTATCAAAAATTTTAAATAAATATTTTGTTAAAAATGTTTTAGTATCCTAAAATTTTACGAAATAATACTGATCTAATCAATTCAAAACCATGATTTTTTCATCCATGCGTCTGCCAAGAACATTGAAATTTGGCAACGCTTCCCTTGTTTTGAAGTAATAAAATTATTTTATCAAATTAAATTTATATTTTCTGGTTACTATGCGTATTTTATAATTTTGCAAACTACATACTCCTTTAAAACTACTAAAAAGACGCATTGTAATTCGTAAAAATTAGTTTCATTTAAATGAATACTCGTGGATCATATCATTAAATTATTCCAGTACTTTAAAAATAGATATTTACCGAATTAACACTCTGCGAAGGTTCACCCGGTTTCTTAGTAACATTGACAATACAGGCACCACATCCTCCCTCCAAACACATGTATTTAGTACCGCGTAACTCAAGATATCTTCGGAGATAATCCAGTAACGTCGTACATGAACTCACCTCACCTCCCACTGTGGACAACAACATAATACGCACATAATAGTATTATATTATTTTCATAACATATACTAAGAAAAATATATTACCTGAATATTTTTCACCATTGACTGTAAAATTTATTGTGTTTACTGGCGTACACATCGTGTTCATGTTACGATAATCAAATACAAGTAAATTCTTACCACATTTTATTTGTAAGTGCTTACTTCATTAGTCGTTCTACATATGTATGTATGTAGGTCGATCAACTATAATTTTGATATTACATTTTATACTAACGTGTAATAATTACTTTGGTTTTTTGTTGGTTAAGAATTACATATTTGAATAGTGATAATAAAACAATGAATACTAAGTGAACTAGGTACAACTTGAACAAAAATTATAATTATTTACAAAAATATTTTAAATTAATAAATTTACTATAATTTTGGTTTTACTAGTTTTTTTTTATTAATATTTGTAAATTAGGCATGTGTTATATTATACTATATAATAGGGCTATTTTGTTTTTTTGTACATTTTTATTTAAAACTATTTTTAAATACATTTTTGTAATCAAAATATTAAGTCGCTCGGTTCCTAAATTATTATAGGTTTAGTCATTTATGGAAATAAGCACCTAATATTGTTTTTTAAAATTATAACATAAGTGATTTTTCAAATATTAGCTTTTAGTTTTTGACGCAAAACTATCCGACTTGGTTTCATAAAATCTTTTTTTTAATTTTAGCTGTAATCTTTAATGATTAAAACTTTTTATTGCCACTGAAAAATCAATGAATCACAATTTATAAATGTACATAGTAACAAAATATTAAAGTACGGACCATAAAATAAATAAAATCATTGAGATTATTCTGTACATTCACTTTTTTTGTAATGTGTTTTGCTATTGACTCTGAGGCTTAATCTCGTATGATAAGCAAAGCCTATCCGAAAACTTGAATTGGTACAACTGGTACACTAATTAATCTTGCACATTTATTATGTCCCGTGTATGGTCTGAGTCTAACTCAGATAACATATCGAGGAGTGCAACTATGAAATTTACTGTTTCGAGCTGATTCTGTAAGTTAGAGATATTGGAGTGCCAAAACGATGTCGAAGGAGCTACGATAACGGAATTGAATTTGAGCTGGTTCGTCATTTCTGTCCAAACTCTAAGGCCTCGAAGCTAGCCAGGGATGGAGCGTCTAGTAAGATATATTAAAAGATTAGCTAAAATAAATGACATTGACTCTTCTGAGAAAGGAGATCCTGACATTTCTGATCATGTAGGTAGGTAATTTCAAAATTTTTTACTTTGAATTTCAAGAAAGTATCTTTGTCAAAAAAGAATCTGCTTGATCATTGACTATAAACTAGCAAATCTGATCAATTTGGCTAGTGATACTGTTAACATTAAACATATCGACAGTCAGAGAGCGTTTTTCTGTATCACAGTCACTGAAAGCCTTTTAAGATCATTAATGATATTGAGGAGCTATTAGTGTTCAACTAAGATATATCCCCTAGGAAGGATCGATCTGCGCCAAATATAGGTGTTTTGGTCCGACCAAACGACCCGAAGTATTTCATTATATACATACTTGTTTCTTATATTTTGTGGGTGTTGGCGCGGACGCTGATGAGATGGTAGTTGTGGTTTGTGTTACGACTACTGGAGACTTAAACCTAACATTCACGGTTTAAACTTGAGAGGCAGGTGAAGAATCAGACTATGGCGCTATTGAGGATTTCCCCCTCGCCTTGATCTGGTCGGTACCTTCGGTTTGTTGCAATAGTTTGTTTAATATTTAAAAAATATTTACATTAATAGCTATTCAAAATAAATGAATAAAACAGGATTAATAACAAATCAGCCAGAACATACATAAATCTTGTTGAAAATCACTGCCAAAGCTATATTTATCTAACTTGTTAAGCGAGCGCGTTTTCTTTTCCCATAACTTCATGGGTGGGTCTACTGCGACTGATGAAAGATGGACGTTTTACGTTTCACTTCTCTCTTTTGTCACGATGCCTATCGCGATGTCAAACAAGTAGATATTCTCTGGAATAAATAAAATGAGTAATCCTTTTAAAAAACTACGAGAGAGATACTACATCCGATATACAAGTATATTAGGCCACTCTGTAAAGTTTAAAATGTAACGACGTAATAGTTTTTTTATATAATGATTTTAAAGGTATTTGAATTACTGGTTCAATATTACTTTAGTCATCTGCCCCTTCAGCTCATGACATGTTCGTCAAACAGACGGGTAAGGAAAAAATTAAAAATACTTTTTTTATATACATATAAGGATTTAAAATAGTGTAAATAACATTTAATTGTTTGAAGGTACCACAGGGCCAGCTATTTTCTTATCAAGGTTTAAGTGTTTCAAGGCTACATCAAATATAAAATATATCGAGTAAGCCGGGGATAACGCTGTTGTTATTTATTGACCAGATGTGAAATCTTTTAGTTCTGATTGCACCGGTTGAGGATTTTAGTATAAAGTTGAGTGATAAATGATGAACAGAACTAATAAAACAGCCTATTCAGTTTATTTTTGTTTTTAACCTTCGCCTGAAAAGAGGGGTGTTATATATTTGACGTATCTGTCTGTTTGTGTCATCGTAGCTCGCGAACAGATGACGCCATTTAAATTAAGCTGTTTTTTGTATTAACGGTGCGATATTTTGTATGCAAATGTTTTTAGACACGACGTGATGAAAATCAATTGATCTATTTAAAATTTGTGGGATGAAAATCGGGATTTTTTCTTCTACTTATAATACATAAGTAGCCATAGGAATTTAGATTTTTACATCGCAATTTTTTTTTAAATTTATTTTATTATATATTTTGTGAAATTATATTTCATATTCAAGGCTGAGATGTTAATTTTCTCTATAATATAAAATAATAAATATTAAAAATAATAAGTCATTCACACCATTACACAAGTGATAAATTAAAATAAATTATGTAAATGGATTACAAACTAAACAGAATTTTTCAAATAGTGTTATATTTACAGGTAAATTACCTTATTATTTATAAAACATGTCGTAAAATTTAGATAATTTTCAAGAAATTTGCTTAAATATCGTTATTAGATATACATATATTTGTGCAATTGAAAGTAAAAACAACATGAGTAATTTTTATAAAAACCCCCTTTTATATAGTTAGGTGATAATATTAATGTTATTTTTCATTTTTATTTTATAATTTCTAAATAAAAGACATATTAAGTTTATCTGCAGTTTATATTTTAGTTAAAATAATAGTATTTTAAAGAATACTTTATTGTTTCACTGAAAATATCCTCCTAAAAATGCGAAAGTTTGACAGTATGTATGGATTTTGTTTTAGATTTTTGTGTTTGTTGCTCTTTAACACAAAAACTACTAAATGGAATGTAATGAACATCTAGAGTCATAGAACTTAAATATCAGAAAAGAGTACAAGTTTCAGTTATACTAAAATTAACTATAGTTCCTGTGAGATCAAAACATTATAGTTGTATAGTGTTACATACGATATAGGCTACACGTATCGCTTCCGATAGACTATGACAACTATTGTTTTAATACATACATTTTTCTTCTGAAACTAATTCAGAAGTCTACGCTAAGGAAGTCACATATAAAAACTAACTTTGTTCTGTGTCTACATATAACTGATTTAATTGATTTGATTACTTTTAAATAAGTTACTTTTCTGGTCTTATTTACCAAAAACAATATAAAAAATGTAAATAATATAAAACCTCTCGTCCAATAGGCACTGCAGGTCAAACTAAGAGATTTAGTTTTATACATTATTTTAATTTTTTAAGAAAACAGTTACTTGTATTTTGTGCCATTAATTATAATATCTGATTATCATAAACTCCTTATGTTAACCTACATGATACAAGCACGAACACATGCCAAAATTAATTTTAATATATACCTAATTGTAACGAAATTATTTCAAAAATATATTTCTTTTGTTACCATAGCTCAGGTCAATACCGTTCCCGAGTCATGTAGTTACGTGCAATTCTTGTTAAATAGTAAAAAGGAAACAGTATTACCCTTTAATACTCTCATGAAATGGAAAAAATTAGGAAATTTGTCAATAGGATATATAGAAATATATAGGCAACAATTGAAACGGACGAAAGCATAGGAAGATAAAAGGTAAAGAATGTTTAAATAAATTTTTATTACTTTGTTAACATTCACATTAAATGTTATTTAAAGGTTATTTAAATTATTTCATAATCAATCATTAAAAAACAAACTTTATTAATTTATTGTTATTGAACATTATAAAAAAGTCAATGCTGGCCTAGTGGTTAAAGGGCCCGCCTTCGTTGCCGAGGGCGCGGGTTCAAACCTGGCAAGTACCAATGTGATTTTTCGGAGTCATATGTACTTTCTGAGAGTATTCAGACACCACTGACATACGGTAAAGGAAAACATCGTGAGGAAACCTGGATTTATAGTTTCACAATTATAAGTTTGAAATCACCAACCCGTCTTGAGCAAGCGTGGTGATTTATGCTCAAACCTTCTCCATGTGAGAAAAAGGCCTTTGCTCAGTAGTGGGTTTCTGTTAGGCTGACGATGATGATGATGAACATTATAACAACGATTTTCTCAATTTATATTTAATTCAAATTTAATGATGTTCTAGCTCCAGTTTCGTTCAAGTAACTAATTCATATTCGCTAAGTGAAACATCACACCTTTCAAAACTTTTCGCATGTTAGAAACACGCTCAATGAAGTTTATAAAGCAATAATATGCGATACATATGGTACAGGTGGATACATTATCATGTACATTTTAATGATGATGAAGATTACTTTCGAATCGAAACTTTTGGCTATTATATTTTTATAACAAATAATTCTTAAATATTACACAAAATCATCGGAAATAAAAGGAAAAATTATAATAAAACAATATAATATTTATTAGAGCATTTTTTAAGTCTGACAAGTTCGGGTTAGCCTATGATAGAAAACACTGTAATGTAATAAACTTCAATTATCAATATATCTTCACCTACAATTAGTCTACTACCAGATATAGGCCTTGGTATTGGTCTTGGTCTTCAGTTTTTTCCTCCACATATCTCTACCAACTTACGGACTTCATCGATCCACCTAGCTATTGAGAATCTTATGTATTTTTATAAGAGACTTTCCATAACAAACTTAATTAAGCTTAAAAATATACAAACCCGTCTAATTTCTTATAAGAAATGTAGTATATGAAAAAATAATATATTTTCATGCAAAAATACCCCACATATGTATTTTATTCTATATTACAAGAATACAATTTCAGACAAATTCAACTGTCTGACAATGTTTGTACGTATAATATTAAATGCACAACTTTCTTCTATGTATAACGTTATAAACAAGATAAAATAAATACAAGGTGAACTACCTCATTAAACGAATTATTTAATGTAATTTGATAATTATTATTCACAAAACCTGTTTAATTATTTTAATATCAGCTTAACTTTCACACAGTAAATATATTATTTGGCATTTGGATAATAGTTTAAAATTAATGGAGGAATGTGTAATTATTATTCACATAGATAAGTGATAAGTCGCTTTTTTAATTTCGTCTAAAAAACTAATAGAAAATATACATATGATGGTATGATGGTTCTTCTAGAGGTAATCGTCGATTAGTTCTTTTCTTCTCCTGATTTAAAAACCTTTTTTCCTCCATGAGATGCTCATGTATATATATTTATTACACTGCCAGCTCTCGCAAAATTTAAAATCCCTTACAAGATTGTATATAGATATTTAAATATTTTATAAAACTTTTAGATACGAAGCCATATAGTATTAGTAAACTTAAAATGCTAACAATATTTTAAAGATCTAATCAAATTATCATTAAAAACTGATCTGCATCGCGTTGCAGAGTATCATGTCATATTTGATATTATTTGACTTGAAATGTTTGTATGTATATATTTTCAGGAAAACTTTTTTTTTTCTTAGCGTTAATCTCGTCTTGTGACGGGGTCCTCTTTCCTACTGTTCAGTATTTTTTCACCAATACGGAACCCAATGTATTTATATTTAAATTATTAATATATTACAAAATACATAAATAGTTCGAGAAGGCTTTCCAATAACATTCACATTTTTATAGTGATTTGAAGAGTATAATATATTAGACGTTAACATTTTGGTTTAAAGAGTATATTTTAAAAAAGTAACATTAACTAGTAACTGATTTTATTTCAAAAATAGTAATAAAAAATAATGTTTAACTCGTTCCTTGTTTTGTTGAAGTGAACTCATTTTATTACAAATTTAATATTACTACATCATGAAGAACGAACACCTTAGATCGTCTAAAGATCTTTAATCGATCGATAGTTGTCTAGTCCGTGTCAATGGATTTTTTATGTTAGCTTGAGGAAAGTTTAATTTCAATAAATCATGGTAAGATGCTTCCCCACTAGCAAACGTTTTTCTTCTTCTTCAGCATTCTTCTTGAACAAACTGTCCCTCAGTGGTTTTGAAGTTCCTATAAAAATAATTTATAAATATCATGCTGAGAGGTGCAGATTCCTTTAAATTTTATTTACATAAATAATGTTCTACTTTGTGAACCCGTCGGATGACGGGATCTTGTCAAACTCCCAATTTTTAAAAGGCCTAATGGAAATGTAAAACTCTGGCATAAAAGTCTAATTAAGTCCCAGACAGTAAAGTCCACGGAGATTTCATTTATGTCATAAAATATGTATTATAAGACGGATTAGTTGCAAAGATGTATATTAAAATATTAAAATAAAGCCCCTACGTAATACAATAGATGCATTACAGACCTTATTATCTTGTTAATAAAATTCAAAATTCATAAAAAAGCTCTAATACTATGTGTGTTTCAACCGCAATTAGGATATGGTTGGGGTAGACTACACATGCTGCAACTAATGACAAAATAAATTATATCATTTGTTTTAAGTCTTAAAGTGTTAAAAAAAATAATGGGAATATTTTTGTAGTTTTCAATAAAATTGAAATTTTAACAGATTACGTACATTTGTATTCGAGATATCAGTTCGAATTCATTTAATATAAAGTTTCTTAAAGGTGCAGCAAATCCTTCGAAAGTAATATTAAGAAGCCACAAATATGCAAAGTTCACATTCTACGAACCGTGGTGAAGATATTACATTGACTGTCACTTTGGCACTCACTCTTATGCTGTATTCAAAATTTCAATATATATAATCATGTTAATATTTAAAAAAACCAAGTACCATATATTTCTATATTCCTTATTTTATGGATTATAAAGTATGTTTAAGTTACACGTATACAAGTAAAACAGAACACAATTTTAAATAACACGATAGCATTTTAGAGATAGGGTACAATATTTTAACATTTTACCACTAATTAAAGAAGAAAGCATATTTTTTCCTCAATTTCTTGCATAATTAGAGTATAAAATATAAAAATTATATTTGTATCCTCATTACTTCTTTGTTAATTACAATACTTTTAATCTCCTATTTGTTTATTTATTTATTTAGTTAGTATTAATCTCCTATTTGGTTCTAAATCCATCGTTATCATAACTTTTTTTTAACAAATTAAACAAATTAGGTGATTGGCACAATATCTCCAAACACTCAAAAAGTTTCCTTAACAATAACGATGCCTGGAAAAGTATTTTTAGAATTCATGTTATTATTAGACATATTTTTTCTTAGCAATAAAAAAAAACATGTTCACGATACAAAATTACAGACCTTTAGAATGATAATAAAGAAATAATTATAAAATGTAAGAATGTTACATGGGGCTCAGTTTATGGTGAATTTTAGTTCAGTTTTAGGAAAACTATGAAAACTAAGAAAATTTTCATTTCTACATCTGATTACCTATTGATAGGAAAACATTATTGGCTCGGTTTAAGGATCTCTATATGATATTTTATCCACACACATTAACTGTCAGAGGCAAATTCTAAACCCATCTTTAGATCTTCTAAATCTTAGCATATCAAGTTTACCTCTAATCTCAAGGCCTGATACTATTCAGGGCCATACTTTACAAAGACTTAATGGACTGGTAGCATGAATTTGATTGATTGGTGGTAACTGTAACAGTGGCGACATTGGATTCAACATCTACCTGAAGAGAAAACATGTATTTCATTAGTAAACTTTCATTGTTCACTTATTTTTGGTATAAAATTACTATTTCATTTCTCAAACAGCTAGGTATTCAAATCGGTCTTACTATTTCAGATCTTAGTAGGAACAATAAGAAACAAAAAAGATAGAGACAAGAATTGCAAAAATGCAAAAAACCTGATACATATATTTATGTACCGTCAATAAATCTACACCCATTTAATAAAAAGTGGCATTTTCTTATATAACGCAATTTTCTTTGTTTTACACATTGATATTCATAAAACCAAAATATTATATCAATTGATATGTTAATTTTAAAAAATAAAATATAAAAATTATGTTAAAACATATATACGATAAGGTAAATAACATAAATTTTACGAATTATCTTTAATATTATTCACGACAGCAAATAAATATTAGATATATGAAAGATAATAATTTTTAAAAAAGATACTTAGTGATATGCAGGCACGTTTAACTTTATTAGTAGTAATACATTGAGTCATGCATCGTATTGAGTTTGAAGTAAACGGAGCAAAATTTTCAGGTAGGTACAAAATTTTACCTTTGAATTAAAGACATAAATAGAGTTTATTTATTTTCAATTTATAAAGTATTTATAGTTTAAATTTAAATATCTTTTTTTGTATCTACAACGTATTATAATAACTTTGACTAGGTATGTGTGTATTCGATCATCGGACGGAAAGCAGTCATTACAGACTGATCTTCTGTGGGAGGATGGTACTTCCTCGGTTGTGCCAGCCCATTTTCGAGCTGTAGCTACTGACCACAGCTAGGCTCTACCACTTTTGTATATATATATGTATACCTATGTATCATGCCTATGTAATAATGCTTAGAAATCTTTTCTTTCTTAAAACGTTCTAATCTATTGGAATTTTTATATCAGTCGGCGAGGAAGTGAGTTCTACCACAACCTTGCTGGACTACATACGTACTACTCTCGAGCTCCGTGGAACCAAGTTTATGTGCTTGGAGGGAGGATGTGGAGCTTGTATTGTTAGTGTCATTACTCATCCTGGAGATGACCAAATAGCTGTAACCTCTGTAAGATAAAAATTACTTTTTTTATATAAAAGTTTTGGTCTTACCTTTATTCTTAGTACTCTTATGAAAGAAATTGTTTTAGTATGATATGATTGTTTTTTTAATTTTTCAGTGTATGGTGTCCGTTACATCATGTCATGGCTGGCAAATTACAACTATTGAAAAACTTGGGAATCGCAAGAATGGTTACCATCCGCTTCAAAAAGCTCTCGCTACCCATAATGGTACTCAATGTGGATATTGCAGTCCGGGATTTGTTATGTCAATGTACAGGTTATGAGAGTTCCATTTAATTTACAAAGTCATTACATCATAATATAAGAATTTTTCTAATTGTTTCGTCATTTTAGTAAACTGAAAAGTAAAAAGAACTTAAAGATGTTGGACATTGAAAGGGACCTATCAAGCAATATTTGTAGATGTACAGGATTCCGACCAATTTTAGAAGCTTTCAAAAAATTTGCTAGTGACGCTCCAGAGTCAAGAGATTTATTGGATATAGAGGAATTAGAAATATGCCAAAAACCTAATAGATTTTGTTCTAGTTCCTATAATTATAACGACTTTTACTTTGTATCTAAAAATGAAATTTATTATGACAATTGGCACATTAACTTAAAAGATGGTAAAACATGGTATAAAGCCTTCTCAGTCGATGATATAATCAATATTTTAACATTAAACGGTCTGGACTCTTATATGTTGGTAGCTGGTAATACTGGAAAAGGTAAGAAAAAAAAATGGAATAAATAGAACATTACTTTTTAAACAGCCGTAATTGCAAAGACTTGGTATTAGGTAATTATTATTATTATAGGTGTTATACCGATTGAAGAGTATTCTAGGATTTTGATAGATATATCTGGAGTGAGAGAACTTAAAGGTTATTTTATGGATCAGAACTTGGTTATTGGTGCAGGGCTAGCTATAACTAATGTAATTGAAATATTTCAAGAGATATCGGATACTGAAAACTTTGAATATCTTAAAGTAGTTAATGACCATTTGCAATATGTTGGTAATATAGCTATTAGAAATGTAAGTATCTACATATATAAAAGTATACCTACTTTTAGTAATTTAAATACACTATTTAACAAAATGGTTTTTTTTTAGATCGGTACAGTTGCTGGAAATTTAATGATAAAACATAAGTATCCTCAGTTTGCATCTGACCTGTTTCTCCTATTTCAAGTAATAGGGGTTGAATTGACGATAAGTAAGAAAATTTTCTTCAATTACAAAATCATAATTTTTTACAATAAAGATTTTTTATGCAACCTGTAGTAGATTGATCTAACAGAAATAATACATTATGAAAAGATAATGGACTCCCTCATAAAGACCCATATATAGGCTACTTCTATAGGTTCTACGTGCGTGCTTGCATGCGTGCGTGTGTGTATGTTTCAGTGTTTTTTGAATTGAAATAATAAAATACGTACAATATTTGAAAACATCAATTTATATAACTCTTAGTTTATTTCTCAAAATCACTTACTTTAACCATTTATATCGTAACTTAAATTTTGTTAGTGGAAAATAAAAAGATCTTTTTGGATGCACTGTTACTAATAGAATATTTTTTTTAACAATTTAATTCTATATTTTGTAATAAGTTTCAAGTTCAAGAATTAAAACATCTTGTAAAGTTTTGTAGCAGACGGAGCCTACGACTATATGCTTCTTTTGTTGCAAATATTTGGTTAAACCAACTCATATCTTTGTAGGATCATGTGATTTTGTAAGGACAGTAACAATGGAAAATTTTATGAAGGAAGATATGAGAGGAAAAATAATTATCAATGCGCTATTCCCACCGCGCAACAAAATGTACAAGTTAATCACATATAAGGTAAGATTTTACTACTTATAACCTAAACCTGGAACAATATACATAAATATTATATCAATTGAAAAAACAACTATCGGTATCTAGGAGTAAAATTTTTAGCCTCCTCTTAATTTTTTTTATAATAATCATTATTAATTTCCTCTTACTATTTTAGGTTGCTGCAAAATCACGTAATGCATCTGCAATAGTTAACGCTGCATTTATTTATAAGCTCAATTTTGAAAATAAAGTATTAAAGTCTAGAATTGCTTTTGGCGGTCTCTCTCCAGATTTTAGTCGAGCAAACAACACGGAAAAGGCTTTAATTAATAAGCTATTATTTAGTAATGACACTTTACAAGAGGCATTACGAATTTTATCAACAGAAATTAAAATTGAAAATAATCCGTCACTAACTTCAGTTTTGTACAGAAAACAGCTTTCTCTTGGTCTCTTTTATAAAGTAAGTAAATATAAGTTCTAATGTAATATAAATATTAGATGAAATAAATTTTTCATTTCAAAATTTAAGTATATTTATAAAATCAAGTAATGATTATTTACATATATATATTTATAAAATCAAGTAATGATTATTTACATGTATATCAGGATTTCGTTTGAGAAAATTTTGAGAGTTTTTATTGTGATGTGATACTCTTACATATTTAAATAACTTTAAATTGTAGAGATCATTCAAGATACACAGAAAATTATAGTTAAAAAATAAAAAATTATAATAATCTCCTGAATCTCTTAAAATTGTCGAAATTTTAATAATATATTATCGGTACTTTTTGACGAACAAGGCTCGAGTATATGATATCTTTAGGATAGTAACTTTATCTGAATAATTCCAAATATACTATGTATTTTTATTTATAACTCAAACTTGTATTCTTAGAAATTGTTTAAGCAATTTTATTATTATAAGGATTTTGCTAATTTTAACTCAATTCACAATTGCCGTCTTTTGGAAGTAATTTAATTTTTAAATTTTTTTTTTTATTTAGAGTCTTCTATCTATATGTCCTGATAATATCTTAAACCCAAGATATAAATCTGGAGCTCTGAAATTACATGACATTCGTCCTGTGTCTAAGGCTTCTCAGTCTTATGATACCAATTCGAATGTTTGGCCTCTCACTCAGCCCATTCCTAAATTTGAAGCTTTGGTAAGTATAAATTAAATATCTTAATTATTTTTTTTATTATAAACTACATAAACATTTCAATAAAATTATAGATTCAATGTTCCGGAGAATCGGAGTATGCTGAAGATTTACCGAGGTTACCTACAGAAGTGTACGCCGCTTTTGTTCTCAGTACGGTTGCGATTGGAACAATAGAGAAAATAGATGCTAGCAAAGCACTGGTAATGTATGATACCATTAAAATATTGAATAAATAATATATCTTTTTTGGCCACGGCTGAATTTATGTAGTTTAAAATTTAGTGACTTAATCCTCATTCTGACCAAATATAACAATCACATACGTTTTTATTTAATTTCTTCTTTTCCAATGTTAACATAGTGTGCATGGGAGCAAAAGTTTCGTAAATGGTTAATTTTGTTTATTTTCATGTTACAGCAAGTAGAGGGGGTCAAAGCGTTTTATACAGCTAGTGATATTCCCGGTCTGAATTCTTTTACGCCAGTAGATGGTTTTGACACACGGGCAAATGAAGAAGTACTTTGCATCAAACAGATTAAGTATTATAATCAACCCATTGGATTGGTTATAGCCGAAGACAAGACTATAGCTGAAAAAGCTGCACTCCTAGTGAAAGTTACATATAGTAATGTACAAAAGCCAAAAATTGATATTCGTATCAATAAAAATGACTTAAGTAAAACTAAATTATATTACTCTATAAAAGCGACAACAAAGGGTACTGATATAAAGAAAGTGATAGAAGGCAACAATTCCACGATCGGTCAATATCATTTTTGCTTAGAAAACATGGCTGCAATAAGCTGGCCACTTGAAGATTCTTTGAGAGTTCGCCCAACTTCACATTTCATGGACTCTGATCAAGTGATGATATCAAGAAACTTAAACATAGAACAATCCAGGTTATAAATTTATAAAAAGTATTATACCCGCAATATTATTAACATTAATTTTTTCTTGTCTTTGCATTTCAGCATCGATATTGCCGTTCGTAGAGTTGGTGGTAGCTTTGGAATAAAGTTGTCTCGACAAACCATAGTGTCATGTTCGAGTTCTCTTGCTGCCTTTAAGATGAACCGTCCTTGTAGGATGGTACTTCCAATGTCTGTACAAATGAGAGCCATTGGTAAAAGAATGGCATCCTCTACAGTTTACGAAGTATATACTCGTAATATACAATTTAGATTGCGCAATATCATATACAAGTCAAATCGTGTCAACATGTCAAGATTTTTTTATAACCAATTTTTAATTAAATATTATTTTGTAGTTTGGCGTTAATAATGAAGGTATTATCCAATATATTAATTATGATATTTACTATGATAATGGCTACATTGTAAACGAGCTTCTCATACAAGCATCAATTGGAAATTTTTTGAATTGCTATAGAATGAACACGGCAAATTTTCAATGTTTTAATGTTATTACTGATACCCCATCAAATACATGGTTTAGGTGTCCAAGTAAGTATATTTAATAAATAAAATATTTACGTTACATTTTCACTAAAGTTCATTTATCATGTTTACTACGTACCAACATATAGGTAAGTGTAACTTTGAATATTATGTTTGCTATTAGAAGCTTAGACTGATAGTAAATGTATAAAATTCTAACTTTGACAATATCTTTGTACAGCAACTGTTGAATGCATTGCAAGTGCTGAGTTTATTATGGAAAGAATCTCCTATGAATTGGGAATAGATCCTCTTCAAGTTCGTCTCAACAATTTGGACACTGATCGTTACGGTGACTTAGTGGAAATGATAAAAAATATCCAATTAAGCTCTAATTTTGAGAAACGAAAGAAAAATGTCAAAAATTTTAATACAGAAAATAGATGGAAGAAAAGAGGAATCAGGTTAGTTCCTATGAAATGGAATACAACAACACCATTCGCGTTTAATGTAACAGTATCAGTATACCATGGTGATGGATCTGTAGCGATAACTCACGGTGGAGTAGAAATCGGGCAAGGTATTCATACGAAAGTAATACAAGTGTGTGCCTACTTTCTTAATATACCTGTTGACAAAATAAAAATAAAGCGAACAAACACGATAGATAGCCCTAATAGCTCTCACACAGCTGCAAGTAAAACGACTCAAAATATCCTTATCGGAGTTAAACGGGCTTGCCAAAAGATATTGGAAAGACTTGAACCTATAAAATCGAAAATAACTAACCCTACATGGGAACGGCTCGTATTTGAAGCCCATCAATTAGGTATCAATTTACAAGGGAACGGTTTTGTGGACTTCAATGATGAAACTGAGCATAATGTTTATGGCGTAGCCGTTAGTGAGGTTGGAGTAGATATTATAACTGGAGAGTGGGAAATCATTAGAGCTGATATACTGGAAGATGTTGGCCAAAGTATTAGTCTTTTACTCGATATTGGGCAAGTAAGTGATAAAATATGCAATATAATAATTTCGATGTCGAATTATAACGTAACTATATCTTAAGAACGCCCAATTTTCTACTTTACTTTTTCTGACCCATACAGATTGAGGGAGCATTTATTATGAGTTTAGGATTCTGGACAACGGAGGAGTTGAAATATAATAACAACACCGGACAGATACTTACAGATCGAACTTGGAATTATTTTGTACCACAAGGTACAGAAATCCCACAGGATTTTAGAGTGAATTTACTTAAAAATTCTTACAACAAAAACACTATGTTTGGGTCAAAAGGTAAAGAAATGATTTTAACTAATTATAATAAAAATAGTATGAGTCTTTTTAACATATACCTACCTTCACTAATTTATTTTTTTAGCATTGTCTGAACCGCCCATGTGCTTGGGTGTAGTTGTACCTTTAGCAATGAGAGAAGCTTTAGTATCAGCTAGAACTGAATGTGGAATACCAAACACACAATGGTTCAATATCGGTAAATATTTTATATAAAGTTTTCATACTTTTAGTTAAAAGTTGTCTGAATATTTTATTTTTAGATGGACCACACACTGTAGAAAAATTATGCTTATCGTGCGGAACCACAATAGATCATTTCAAATTTTACTGATGGTGAATGAATATTTTTTAAAAGTGAATCTGTATTTTTTTATATTTCCTTTTTGCATAATGAAGTATTCACATTTGTTATATGTATTATATAATATTTATTTCTAATATAAAAAAGCCCGGATTAAGTATTCTTGACCGACATCCTTTTCAATCCTTGACAATCATTTTTCTCTTACAAATATAGAATATTAAAATATTTTAAATTTGCATAGCCTCTGATACTAATAACTGAATAATTACTATATGGAAAGTTTATCAATAAGTAATAAAGTAACATTATAAGTAATATGCCTACCATATTCATAATAGTGTTTTAGCATGATGTATGTACTTAGTGATAAATAAAATTGAAATATTTGATATGTGGCATTGACATTATTAACATTTAGATAACAGGAACGTGGATTTCAACATTTGCCAGTTTTAATTAACTGTAATAAACTTTGGTAACGGTTATATTCAGTCAAGGTGAAAATAGAAATAATAGCTGTGATAAAGTGGTGTCTCAATTTTTATAGTTTTTGCTCGTTCTAAACTACTGTTACTTTTAATATACGTAGGTATTTGAACGTCTTCCTTCTTAAAGTTGGGAATCATTCGTTATCATTATCACCACAACTTAGAAAAGACATATTCATTAAAAGCCACTTTTTGTATCCAGGGATAATCCAGATTAAAACAAACATTATTATCTTGCTTACCGTAAAGGCGTTATTGTTATATGTACTGTTAAAATCAATCTGTACTAAGTAATTTGTAACATAACCGCTGTTTTACTGCCAATTTTTTCTTAATAAGAATAGTAATATGTAAATATATTTCAAATATATATTTATAGTATAAATTTATTATCTATACTCGTATTGTACTATATTATTTTATTGATTTTTTATTATATTATGACGTTCGAAGATGAATTGTAAGACTTCGATTAAGAATATTTGTTCGTTTATTAAAAAAACCTTTTGGGTATGACGATTAGCTTTAAAATATATAATTATATATATTTTGGAAACTATATATTTTAATTGAAATATATATAGTAACAAGATCAGGGGTGGCCTAGTGGTTAAAAAGGCCCGCCTCTCGTGCATGAGGGCGCGGGTTCGAAACCTGCCAAGTGCTGATGTGATTTTTCGGAGTTATATTTACTTTCATAGAGTTTTAAGGTACCACTGAAAGGCGGTGAAGAAAACATCGTGAGGAAAGCTAGACGTATAATTACATAATTATAAGTTAGAAATCACCAACCCACCCGTCTTGAGCAAGCGTGGTGATTAATGCTCAGACCTTCTCTATGTGAGAAGAAGCCGTTGCTCAGCAGTGGGTTACGATAGGCCGATGACGTATATAATAATAATACTAATAAACAATAAGTGCTTTTGAACCATATTTTTGACAATTTTTATTTTACTATAAACTTATCTTACCTACTTAAAAAACAACTAACTGAGGATATTTTGGGACTCGTCTTTCAATTCAGGATTCATTTTTGCTATAATTCTCGAATTTAAATAAATGAATTGTAGTTGTTTCAATCAAAAATCGAGTTCTAAAACTGCAAATTCAGATATTTTGGTAAAATAAAAAATGTTCAAAGACATAAAAAATGCATTGAATTGTGATATCTACTACTAGTATTAAAATAACTTCGTTTATGTGATGGCCTAAGAGACTTCATTAATTCTTATATTATAAAACGTATTTCAAGAAATTAAAATGTAACTAGTTTTTTCTTTGGAAACCTGCCATGTGACCACTACAGTACTGTTGTAGTTATAAGTATTTTTTTGTATATAAGATACAATTAAGTGCAATAAAATATTCACTTTTTTAAAAAGGGTGTCCACTGTTTTATTATTGAGAAAATAACGACTAGTTTAAAGAGTCTCAACCTATAAACTAATAATTAGAATAACATTAACTAATTTCACATATAGATATACTAATAGATGTAAAAATGTATAAATACAATTAATTGATAATATACCGGTTATAATACTGTTATGGAAAGTAAAATAACTTATAAATTAAAGTTATTGTACGTATTATAAAGGCTACTATTGTATTTAAATAATTTGTATCATTAAAAAATACTAACTGTGCTAAAGAATTAAATATGCTAGCATAATTTTCATGTTACCAATAGTCTAGTTTGGTCAAGTTTAAGATTTAGTTGTATTAGGGTTTATTAAAAAGTATATAATTTCACTTGTGATTTTTTTAAAAAGAAAACATACTTGTTTTCTGAAAATAGTAAAAAATATGTAAATAATAAAGAATTTCTTTCATCCTAGAAATGTTTTTTTTTTTAGATTTCCTTGTTTTACCTTCTGTATGATTTTAAAAATAGTCGTTTTGCATATATTTGAATGTATTGTATATATATTCCATATGACAATTTAAGACCTCAGTTAATTAATAAAACGTGGATCGATATCGTGAAATTATATTCTAACTGATATGTTTATCACAAAAGTCTTAGTTAGTTAATAAAAAGTAGTCTTGTAAAATATTTTATGTGTATATTTAAATGATAAAAATGTCTAGATATCCACAACTTGAAAAATGTAAATTCACTTTGAATTTGTAGGTTTTGAAGACTCATTATAAACTTTCTATTACATTCAAATGTATGTTTTCATTTTATAAGTATGTATAGGTCATGCTGAACTTAAAACAAATTAAATGCCTTGTAAGCACTACTTTACAAAGTTTATTTACTAAATAATAAAATAACAATACTTTAATACATTTTTTTATTTACTATTTTTATTTTGTATCCCTTTCCCATATGTTTAAAAAAATCTCTTTGTATACTTTTATGAATAGAGCCATTTTCTTTTGTTTTTGTATCTTTATTTTACTAATATTATAAATGCGAGAATTGGTAGGGATATATCTATCTCTGTAGTTCTTTCACTTAAAATGTACTCAGCAGATTTTGATAAAATTTTCCTTTCATATTTCGTAGACATTGAAATAACATATTGAATAAAATATAACCTCTCAGTCAGTGTAATTTGAACAGTAATACATAACTCTTAAATGCACTTTGAATTCACGACGACAAGACATTCACGATAGTTGTCTCTAGTGGCTGGATAACATACCATTGAGGACAAATAGTGCATTTTATCACATAATTTTAGTTAGGTACACCTCCCTGATTACTATTTCGTACCATTCATATTATAAAAAAATCCAAATGCTCGAATATCATTGTTATATAGATTGCTCAATTCATCGATGCCAGTAAGGGTAAAATATCTTTATAAGCAAAGGGTGCCGGCTCGTGACGTCTCGTAATGATCAGTCTATTTCTAATTGCAGTACTTTTCAAAGGTGTGTTGGACACCCCGTTTACATGGGACTGATTGTATATCAAAGTTTTCAATTGATGATAATGGAATATATGTATCATTGGGGATTTTTTGTAATTTAATTCGGATCCATGTTTTTACAATGGTGGCAAATTCCGACGGTAAACCCATTTTTATCGAGTTTTATCACAATATTTAAAAACATTGACAGCAGAATCGTTATTGAATTTTAGATCTCCTTTTTTTGTAAGACTTATTTTATATAAGCTATACTAAGGATATTTAAAAATAAATAAAAACTAGACTAATTCAAAACATTAATTGCTTTTAAATACATTACTTGGCATCTAATGATAAATATGTATAATGAAATTTGTAAATTAGAATTCAGCTTAAACACGACAAAAATAATTTATGATTGACTTAAATAAGTAAAATTGAAACTAATGAACCAAATAATACGACAATCTACTTAATTGGATATCATGTTGAATAATTTATTTAATTTTCTATAGACCTCTAAACGCTTCTTTGACAATAGTTACATATTGTATTCTAAAATGTGTGCTTAGTCAGAATTATCGCTTTTGTGCTAGAACAGCTGAAAAAACAAAAACAAAACGATTAAGGTGAACCTATTTCAATAAATTACTTTGTTTGAATCTTTAATATTCCATATCTTAGATTTTTTTAAATCTGAATATTAATTATGATAAAATTAGAGCATATATTGCAATGTAATATTTATTGATTTAATGACATACTTAATTAAGATATAAAGCAACATTGTAATTTTACTTTCTTTGTAAATGGTATAATAAATATGTTGGTGTGGTGATATTGCAACTTCAGATAAGTAATATTAAGGGCTATTAGAAGATAACAATTTTAATGGGAATGATATAACTCAGTTGGAAATCAACGAGTGCACTGAGATCATGGATAGAATTCATTTCAAAGTAAACGGAAAATAGTACTCGGGTAAGTTTATTTCTTGATACATTTTTTTCACCGACTTCAAAAAAGGAGGAGGTTATCAATTCGTTTGTATTTTTTCTATGTTTGTTGTCTAATAACTTTTTATTCCCTTTTTTTATTTGAAAGCTAATGCTTTCTATTTAATCTATTGTTGACAATGGCAACAATGATCCAATCATATAATTCTAAAATTAGCATTAAGTATGTATGCGACAAAAGTACGAGCAATTTTAACGACAGCAGATTTCGATATATTTATTTATAATGGTAGAATTCACAAATGGTCCCATGATGTTTGCAAAAAAACCTTGTAGCAAAAATATCACAACTATTTTGAAGGATATCTTTATGGATAGGTAATTCTAATTTCAGGATTAACAGTTCACATATAATATAACACAATAATTTTATATTTAGAATATATGGCGAATGATTTTATAGAGAGTACCGTACCTACTGGCGTCACGCCATCAAGTTACGTATCAAATCAGCTGATTCTACAAAACACTACTACGTAGTGTAGTGTCTTTCCCTATATCAATTCCCTCGTAAAATTTCATAATTTTTTTTTTTTATAATTGAAGTTTTAAAACAGAATTAACGTTTCATAACAACTAACTACTATTCTACCAGTTATAAGTACAAAAATGCAATTCAACAAAAGTTCGAATGCAATAACAAATCTATTATGTGATAAGGCGCATGTTATGACTACTACTAATTACAATGCAATTATTATAAACTCAGAATTAAGTTCGCAATCAATATAGATAAGTAGATAGCAAATGTGTTTCATAATAGATACTTTTAATATTAACTAACTAATAAAATTATAACTTACAGCAAAATTGGGTAATATATTTTATTATCAGTCTAAATTCAATCAAAAAGTTTTCGGAAAAGAAAAAATCTTTAACCTCAAAATAAGATAAATTAGCTTTTAAGAAAATACCACCTCAGTTGATGAAAGAGTGTTATTCACTCCTTGAAACAAGTGCTCCAAATTTTTGCAGAGATAAAATTTGTAGTTGAGTGAATTTCGTCGCTGAGCAAAACAGTACATCTATCAACGAGATGCCCACTCGTTGTCGTTGTTGTTTACATGCTTTTACTTAACCATTTGCTACTAAAAATATTAGTAATGCTTCTAAGAAGAGCAAAAGCATTAAAGATTTATTTTAACTAACAAAACGCTATGGCTCAGTTTAGCACGTCATTAAATTTCACACTTTAATTATAAGAAACACTATAACATATGAAATTTTTATTAAAAAAAGCTTTTATAATAGTTTTTAGAGTTAAGCTGTTTAATAAATGGAAGCACGTTGAAGTCAAATAGGTATATATTAACAAAAAGTTTTTTCTTCGACTTTAAATTTTTCATAGTGCATAAAATGTAATTCAAATTGAGTTTTAACTTATGGGGTTTATGTAACTAAAAAGTATTATTTATAATGCTATTTAAATTCTTATAGTTGGTAACGAGGTGGGTTCTTCTACAACCCTATTGGACTACCTTCGTCACCACCTGGAGCTGCGCGGTACCAAGTACATGTGTCTGGAGGGAGGATGCGGCGCCTGTATCGTGAATGTCACCAAGAATCCAGAGGGAAAATCTGAAGGAATCAACTCTGTAAGTGTCTTATGAAAGCTTACTAGAAACGAAATTAATGAAATTACGAGAAAATCCTATTCTAGTTCCCAATAGTTCCTATTGCAGTTCATAAAGATACATTTCATAATTTCAAATAGTTTTGATTAAATTACACTACATATATACTATATATTTTTATCGATTAACAATGTTAATAATACAATGTTAATCGAACAGACTAGATTCGTTCACAATGCGGTATGGTTAGTACAATTTGATTTCAAATTTTATTCTAACTTCTACTGCGGTTCAATAAAAATATGTAATCTAAAAAAAAACGATTTATGTAACGGTTCCTATTATGTGATAATAGAATATTGGGGATTATCTATTGTAATAGGGTTTAAATTATACATCACTTTTACTAACAACACAAACATAGTCTACACTTGACATAATTAAATATTAAATTCAATAACAACAATTACATTTTTTTCAAAAATTATCGCATTCAATGACAGATCTTTTAAATTTTTATCAAATAAACAAATAAACAATACATGAAAGTAGGTTACTGATAACACACTGGTTTAGAGAATAATATGTATCCTCTAATTTCATCATATTTTAAAATGTTTGACAAGACGGTTTAAAGAATGTTACGGAAATGTTTTAGTGTATGGTACCAATAACATCATGTGAAAATTGGGATGTAACTACAATAGAGGGGATTGGTGGTCGTTTAAAAGGTTACCATCCACTGCAAGTAGCACTGGCGGAGAATAATGGGTCACAGTGTGGATACTGCAGTCCAGGATGGGTCATGGCTATGTACAGGTATTAAATACTTAACAAAAAAAATGTACTTTTTAACTTTGTATCATTATAAAAATATATAGGTTATTAAACTTACAGTATTCTTAAACATTCAAAGCCAACAATGTTAGAGGTAGAACAAAGTTTTGGAAGCAATATCTGCAGATGTACCGGATACCGACCAATCTTGGAGGCATTCAAGAAATTTGCTAAAGATGCTCCTAGTTACAAAGATGTTTTAGACATCGAGGACTTAGAAATATGTAAAAAATCAGGCCAACCTTGTTCAAAGAACAAATGTGACGAATCTGAATGGTGCTTTGTATCTAAAGAGGATGTTAGTAACGAGATGCTTCATATAGTGTTAAATGATGGTAGAGATTGGTATAAACCTACGTCTATATCTGATATATTTGACATATTTAACAAAAAAGGAACACAGTCATATATTTTATTGAGTGGAAATACTGGCAAAGGTAGGTTATGCAAACAATGCTTAAAAATATAATTTTAAAAAGAGTCAGACCTAAAATATGATCTAGCATGTCTACAATTCTATTACAGCTGAACAAATTTATTAATAGTTTTGAAGTTTAGTCTTTTTCTCGTTTTATATTACCCTGTGGCTGAGAAAGCAGATAATTTATATACTCACAACATGGTTAAATTTAATTTCAGGAGTTTACCCTATACTAGAATATCCGAAAGTACTGATAAATATCAGTGGTGTAGCGGGGTTGAAAGGGCACTATATCGATCAAAACTTAGTGATTGGAGGAGCAACAACACTCAACGAACTGATGAATATATTTGATAACATAGCCCGCACCGTTAACTTTGAGTATTTGCTAATTTTAAATGATCATTTAAAATTAGTTGCTCATGTAACCATTAGGAATGTAAGTAGATTCATTATGGGTAAAGAACAGTAAAGACATTATTCTTTGTTAGTATTCCCAATATATTTTACATTTTCAAATCACAATGATGTTCTATGTTTGATTAATATTAATTACCCCATTGATATTTTGAAGTTCGTATGTGTGACTATGTTTTTAGAAATTAAAATAACATATGTTATTATATATTTCAGTCTGCAACAGTTGCTGGTAATCTAATGCTAAAAAATCTTCATCCTGATTTTAAATCCGACGTTTTTCTCCTTCTTGAAACTGTTGGAGCTCAGGTAACTATACGTAAGTATTTGTTAACATACGAGTACTTAATAGTCATGAGAATTTTTTTCTAACATCATTCCAACATTAAACTTTTCTGGACAACTATATTTTACTACAAGTGAGTTTTATATAGTCGAATTACAAAATTTATGAAAGTAATAACTAGACAGAGTTATAGAATACAATTTTTATAATGTATAGATTTTTTCAAACTGTTTCGTATTACAATCTTTGTCTATACCCTCTAATAAAACGTCTGCGATGTAAAACTGTAAAGCAATTGCCCTTTCACTTAATTACTACATGTTCTATTTATTACACCTAATTTACTTTTAATAAAGACAATCACACCAAAGTAATTCATAACTTTTAGATACAAGCAAAAGTGATAGAAAAATTATGACAATGCTGGAATTTCTTAAAGAAGACATGACCGGAAAAGTATTACTTAACATTTTGTTACCACCACTAAGTGCTGAAAATAAGATAGTTACTTTCAAAGTAAGTTAATAACAATGTTTTCGAGTAATTAAAATAAGCAAATAATTGCTAAATTTTTATTACAGATAATGCCTCGATCTCAAAATGCCCACGCTTTTGTTCACGCTGGTTACTTATTTAAAATTGATAGTTACGAAAGAGTCAAAGAATGTAGGATTGTTATGGGTGGACTATCACCATCATATGTTAGATCTTATGAAACAGAGAGATTTCTTAGTGGCAAAAAGTTATTTACAAACGAAACTCTTCAAGGTGCACTAAACATTTTGAAAGAAGATATCGTTGTCACAGAGAGTCTGCCAGATCCACCGGTTGAATACAGGAGACGAGTTGCGCTTGCCTTGCTTTATAAGGTAAAAAAATAATTATTATAGTTACAAAATATTTCTAAATTAATAACAATTATCCCGCCCCGGCTTCGCACGGATATTAAACAAACATTATTTTACATTCACACACACATACATACATACTCCCATATATACTTTCTCATTTTTGCCTAGGGTCATGAAAAAAATGAAATGAAGAATATTCTATATATTTTAAATTATTCAAGTTCATTTTTAATTTTTGTAAGAATTCCTTTACAATATACCTTACATTCTCTGCCCCTGAAAAATTATTTATTGAGTCAGAGCTCCCTGTAAACGACTCTTGATGTTAATTAATATTGGAGCAGCAAAATAAATGGATTTACTGTGACTCTGACCCGCGATAAAAATACGTACCATAGTTGGTCATGAGTAAAATATTCTTTTCAAAACAAAATATTAATAATTATAGGGACTTCTCTCACTCTGTCCACGTGATAAATTAAGTTCACGATATATTTCTGGTGCCACTAAAATTCATGAAACACGACCAGTATCAAAGGGAAGTCAAATATTTGATACCAATTCCTCCGAATGGCCTCTCAACAAACCGATGCCGAAAATTGAAGCTGTGGTAAGTGACTATAAATATATGGAATTATAGTTATAATTATTTATTTTTAATCTTCCACTCACACATTCTAATACTATGATAGTTTTACATATAATTCTAAAATGTTTATATAAGTCTAATAACAATAGATACAATGTGCTGGGGAAGCTAAATATTCGGATGATCTACCAACGCTACCGGGAGAAGTATACGCAGCATTTGTTTTGACCACTGTTGGAGTCGGCAACATCAGTCACATAGATCCAAGTAAAGCCTTAGTGAGTTGGTTTATTAATATAAAATATTATAATGCTACTCCACTTATTTTTCAACAAAAATAATATAAAAAAATACTTATAAATATTTAATTGTAGCTTTTAATTAGGGCAATTTAATTTTTAAGGCTCTACCTGGGATTATTGCATTCTACAAAGCATCTGATATCCCAGGAAAGAATAGTTTTATACCTGCAGTGGATTCTATTAACAAGGCAGATGAAGAATTTTTATGTGCTGGTGAAGTTAGATATTACAATCAACCTCTTGGTATTATTGTGGCTGAATGTCAAAGTATTTTAGAGAAAGCTGTTTCTTTGGTTGAAGTTACGTACACCAATGTAAAGCAACCAATTTTTGATATAGCTGTAGCAAAAAACTTTCCAGAAAGAGTAAGTGTTTACAATTCCAAAGATTCTTCAACCAAGGGTCATAATATAGTAAAGACAATAAAAGGGGAGCAAACGTTTTATACCCAATACCCTTTTCCAATAGAAACGTTGGTGGGTATAACACATCAAACAGAAGAAGGTTTACAGTTATATCCTACTGTACAATGGGTAGACGCTGTTCAAATAGCGACGTCCAGAGTTTTATTAATTGATGAAAACAGGTAATCTTTACTATCCGAGTACTAAAATATTTGAATTAGTAGCAAAAATATTTGATAACGTTTTGAAAAAAATAATAATATTAAAACTGTTTTTTACTGACATAACGGATCACATATTAAGATTAGAATAATTACAAAACTAATATTTTAAATGCTTTCATTGAAATGAAAAAAGATACATAATATATCTTTAAAATAAACTCATACTTTTGATTCATGTATTTGTTCGATCATTTTAAAACATAATATCGATACATCAATCGAGTTTATATATAATATCGATATGAATACGACATTAATTTCTTATTTATCTTTCGATATGTCTAAAAAATATTATTTTTATCTTAATGGCATAAAACTAACAAATCTCGTATGCATGTTTCGATGGTACACCGTGTTAGAGACTCTTTTTCTTTAAACTCTATTTAAATAATTGCTTCCAGAATCGATGTACATGTTCGTCGGCTTGGGGGTGCTTACGGCTATAAACTATCTAGATCCGTACCAGTGTCTTTAGCAAGTAGTTTAGTGACATTAAAGATGGGTCGGCCCTGTCGATTCGTTCAAACTTTAACAGCCAATATGAGATCTACTGGTAAAAGAGCACCGTCCTCTACTAATTATACGGTAGGATGGTTCCAATTTAGTAATTTAACAAACATATATTTTCTTTAAAATAATATACATTAAGGAATCTTTTATCTAAATTCCTTTTTTTAGATCTCTGTCTCAGAAAACGGCGTTATTCAATCTCTAGATTATGGTTTATACAGTGATAACGGCTGTATTGTTAACGAAATTATCCTTTTGGCTGGTGTCGCCATTTACAATAATGTTTACAAAAATGGACCATGGAAATATACATCTTACAGCGTAATAACCGACACGCCTTCTAACACTTTTGTTCGAGGTCCAGGTAATGTAATTTTTTTTTTGTTTGAGTTGAAAAGGAATTTAAGGACAAATATTAACCAATATGTTATATTGATATGATTGAATTATTATAAAGTTTTATAAAACATTTTATACAGTTGTCAACTAAAAGAATGATATTCTTTTTTGAAAATTCTTTTTCAGATTTATTTTCATACTACATCTGTAGTATTTATAATATTCAGATCCATGTGTACGAGAATTACTTGTATTAGTTACAGTAAAATGTTCTTTTTGTCTTAAAATTGAAAAATTGTATATTTTTAGGTAGTGTGGAACATATTGCAGTCATTGAAACTATGATTGAAAGAATTGCATATGAAATGAATTTAGATTCGTTGAATGTACGTTTGTCGAATTTAGATACAGAGAAATATGGTGAAATAGTTGGTATGATAGAAAGGATTAAAACAGACTCGAATTATGAAGATCGAGTGGCCCTTGTAAATAAATTTAATAATGAAAACCGTTGGAAAAAACGAGGCTTAAAGGTTTCTTTCCTTAGATTTGAGGCAGCTGCTCCAAAGTATTTCCATATAAACATGAATGTTTATAAAGATGATGGAACCGTTGCCATAACGCATGGGGGAATTGAAATGGGTCAGGGTGTTAATACCATTGCCGCACAAATTTGTGCTTATCTTCTAAATATTCCAGTGGAAAAAGTTCAAATAAAGCCCACTAATACGATATCAACAGCTAATAATCTAGGTTCAGATTCAAGTGTGACAACTCAAAATGTCGCAATCGGTGTTCGAAGGTGTTGTGAAGAACTACTGATTAGATTAGAACCAGCAAGAAATCAATTAAATAACCCTTCCTGGGTAGAACTTATCCAAAAAGCGTTTTCTATGAATATAGATTTACAAGTACATGGCTTCGTTAGTCCAGCAGATTCATTAACGTATGACATTTTTGGAGTCGCGGTAGCTGAAGTTGAAATAGACGTGCTAACAGGAGAATGGGAAATATTAAGAGTTGACTTAATTGAGGATGTTGGTAAAAGTATAAATCCATATATTGATATTGGTCAAGTAAGTGTTTTTTAAAGTTACTTTTCTTTTATGACAAAAGTATATTTTAAGAACTAAAAAATGTCTCATAATAAATTCTCAGGTGGAAGGTGCATTCATAATGGGTTTAGGCTTATGGACTACAGAAAACATAGTGTATTCTCCTGACGGCGAGATTCAGACAAATCGCACTTGGAATTACTGGGTTCCTGGGGCTACAGAGATCCCGCAGGATTTTAGGGTTTATTTCAGAAAAAGATCATTTGGCAAAGATGCTAACTTTGGAGCTAAAAGTAAGTAATCATTTGAAAATTCTGGTTAAGAATAAAATTGGTACTATTAAAACTTTATAATAGTAAAACAAAGTTATTACTTCTATTCATATAATTCTTTTTATTTCATAATTTTAGCTACAGGAGAACCAGCAACATGTTTAGCTATAGTTATACCTATTGCTATGAGAGCAGCTATATCAGCTGCACGTCTAGAATCAGGAATCCCTTCAACAGAGTGGTTTCAAATGGGTAACTTTCGTAAACATTTCTAAGTTTCCAAAAGTCTTTTTACAAATAATAGCAATTTATACGTGTATTTTTTTCTTTTTAGATGGCGCGTTTACCATTGACAAAATTTCTCTGGCGACTATGACCAAAATAGAGGACTTTAAATTTTACTGAAATATATTTTTTATTGTACAGTAATAGTAACAGGTGATTACTAACTTTCTTCTTTCACGTAAAACATTTTAACAATATTTTTATATATATGTAGTAGAAATATACATACTTAGTCTATATAGAAGATCCTCGCCTCTATTTACATTAATCACCACGCATTGTTGAAACTGTACTTGCACTGGTCGCTAAGCAGATCCATAATTATTATTTACGACAATAAAAATATGCCTTCCTGTGAAATAACAGTAATATGAATAAACGTCATACTTAAAATGTTTAGTCGTAAAATAAAAATTATGTGGTCATATGGTAAAATCGATGACTGCAGAATTGAAACATTGGATTGAGAAACTTCAATAAAATAATTTTACTGCAAATAGAAAGTAGTTGAACCAATTATCACAATCACTACTCTCACAGTGCTTAGAACATTTACTTATGATCTTCCTACACTACTAATACATTAAATGTCATATTTTTAACAATCAACTTCACAACCGTATGTCTTTATTTAATTCAACTCAGCTTATATATCACAACAATAAAAGGAAAATGAAATTCGTATTACGAAAATAGGTAATGCTAAAAATCTATCAATAAGATTTTTATAAAACAGTACAGGATTCAGTCAATAGAATCTTCGTTCGAATGAGGTCAAGTAATGCGATATTTTATATTGAACATTTAACTTACTTCGGAAGAGATTTAACACAATTTAATGAAAACATATTTAACTTCAATTATGTTATAGATTTTGTCTTAATAGTTACACTTTCGTAGGGTTTAAAGTATATTCAAATATATGATAAATATAGATAATTTTCAAGATATAAAACACAAGAGTTATTATATACATTAACCAAATAAATCCTTAGTATGTTAAGTTCAAATATTCCTGCTAACAAAGGTTCAGAACAGAAAATAACTGAAATACCCCCAAAGGGATGATCCCCGTAAGTCATAAAGGAATTTAGCCCTGGACCAAACTTAGCCCGATTTCTGTCAAGCGAGGACGACGTACATATAAGTATGTTATATATTTAATGTCAAAGATACTAAACAAATACATTATATTTTTTATATTTTGATGTATAGAAAGTACGATCCTTTCATAATGTTAGAAAATTCAGAAATTGATTATAAGTGAAGTCCGAGGCAAACTTGGTCATGTACATTTGTTGCGAATTGGTAGAAAATATTCGTCATAATATTTAATATATGTTTGTTCTAAGTGTCATCGAATTTATTATATCATACAATAAATCGTACACAAGAAAAATATATATTAGTCTTTTGCTTTTTGTTCTTATGTTCAATTGTTGTCTTATTTTATACACTCAGAATACTTATAATTATTAAGTATATTACAAAGAGTATAAATATGTATATAGCAGTTTTATGTAATAACTTTTTAATCAAGTTGGTGAGAGTAAGGACCCAACGCTAGTTTCATGGTGTATTATAAAACTAATCCACCGATCACTGCAGTCTGTCCGCCTGAATGACCCACTGTCAGTACAATGAAGTGCATTGAAACCGTATTGTAGAACGCAGCACTGTGATTTCCCAAAGGACTGCACTCACATCTTGTACTCCGATATTACGACCACATTCGCGTTTTAATAAAAAATAAAATCACTTACTCAGAACTTTCTGATTATGACTGAACTCTAAATAAAATAAAGATCAATAAAATTTAACATCCATCACTTTTAAAACTACGATTAAACTCGTGTCTTAGAAGCCGAACTCGTACTAAACAAAAAATATGTATTAAGAACTGAATTAAAGCTACATTATAAACAATTTATAATATGAATTTTCTTTTTCATTATTACAAGTAACTACAAAAACTATTCCTTTACAGATTTTTCTATAATTCATGGGATTCTTATCAAACAAGGGTTAGGTTTAAGTAAAAATATATTATAAAAATATATCTGAAGTATTTATATAAAGGTAGTGGCTGTCTAAGGCATATTCGCCGAAACATTTAGGACAAATTCCCGATAAAACATTTTTCAATAATATACGTCGAATGAATCTTTTTTTTCTAATTCCTTTTTCCATAGAAATATACACTAAGCGATATATTTATTGTCGTAAAATTTACACATTATGATCTTTCTATGTAAATTTCATGAGCTAATTACTAAAAATAATAATTGTTGAATTATCTTTCAAGTAAGTAGTTATTATTTTTCTTTATAGAGGAACTAAAATTGTCTTAATATTAACTAAACCATAATTAGTTAAAATCAAATACGGCTCTCTATTAGATTCATTTTAGAATTTATTTTGCAGAAACATATCACTTTTTTCTTTTAATGTGATTTTTTTATAAAAAATAAAACATACTGAAAATATTTACGTTTGTATTTTAAGTTGAGATTACTGTGATTATATGAATTGCTAAATTATAGATATATGTTTTAAAAAATATTTAAGAATTTTAAAAAGCTTTGGAAAATAAACTTATACTTGAATGTGATAAAACGGAAAAAATATTATTATTTAAAGAAGTTATACGCGAGGTTTATCAAGTTCTCTAATCATTTAAATTGTAGTTTTTAGATACAAGTAAACCACGATGATATCTACAAGCTTATATATATGTTGCTCGTATAATATTCAATGAAAGTACAGCTGGTACCTGTTCTCTAGACCAAACCAAAGTTTTCTAACTAAACCAAATTTGTGTCATCTGCGGCCAGAGGCCTGTGACTTTAATTAATCCCCTACAAAATTTGTCTCCACCAATACATTTATATGAGAACATTATTGTTGAAACTCCCTGTTGCTGATTTGTACATATGTGGATTTCTTATTCAATCTAACAACAATACTATAAGCTTAATGAGATCTAAGACTTTCGTGAGTATTCATTTAAATTAAACTAATATCATTCGGATTACTATGCATAATTTTTTATTTTAAAAAACTACATACTCTCGACGTTTCGGTTACTTTTCAGCAATCTTATTCACGGGCAGACGAGATGTGAATGCCTATGAGCTGGTACTGTTGTTTATCAATTATCATCTAGCGAAATAGATTTCTTAATTTTCTAGAATGCTGCAGCGGTACGTCTAATATATTTAATTTCATAATTTCTTCTATTTTTTAATTCAATTAAAACTATCTCAAATAGAATCACCTATTAATGTTTTCGTAGTTTGGACAGAGCCCACATCTAAAGCTAGTAAAATATATAACATAAAACCCAGTTTTATACAGATAGGGCAATCGTTGACTGTCTTCAAAAGGAAATACTCGTAAAAAGACATTTATTTTTATCCTCTAACAATGGACTATATATTGACATCGGTCTTCAAGCCACACGTCTATTATATTTCAACAGCATTAAATCCAGATGAGATATCGGCAAACTGCTCCAGTTAATCTAATAATCTTGCGACGAAGCTGGTTAAATAGAAAAATCTCTATCATTCACTGGACATGGGACAAATAAAAATAAAGCCATATTTTGTTCAGAATATAAGGATATGAAATTGTTAATCATAAAAATGAAACAATATTCATAATACATATTATCAAAAGAAGAACAAAGTTGACTAATTATAGTAATGAAGTATTATACTAAAAAATATTTCAAAGGTGCTGTCCTTGATCCTTAACATCATTTGCTATACATATTTTTAAAGATCCCAATTGTAAAGAAAAAAATTAATTTAATGTTTGGGAGAAAAATCATAGATTACACCTGTGTTCTGAATTTCTGATGACTAAAAGACGTTTACATGTTTTCATATATAGATATATAAATTGTTATAATTTATAAGTTAAATCTGTTAAGATGTAGCCTGTGAGCCTGTGTACACATACTTAGATAGGTAGCTACGACCTGACCGCAGCTAATGGCGGGAGGATACGGCCTTTGAAGACGACAGAAGGGCTGTGATATTGACACGTTTTAGTATAATAAAGGTTGGAGAGAAGTGTCTTGTGTCATAAATGTACATACATGTCATAAATTATTAGTGGATGTTTACATGTTGGTAGATTACGACCAAATATATTTTGTAATGTAAGTTTAGAAAATATAGTTTTCGAGAACTGTGACTCAATAGTCACAATTTGTAGTTTACAGACGCGAGTGAGTAATATTATTACGTTTTTAAAATGTTAAACTAAACTGGGATTTAAAATTGGTTTAAAAAGATTATTAATTTTTTAAAGTAACACTTATTAAGCGTCATTTTAAAAGAGTGCAATTAAAGACTAGCAGCGTTGCAAGACTGTTGTGTTGGAATAAAATTCTATTTTTTAATTCAGCTTGCAAATGGAGTTGCAACGACACAAATTAAAAGTAGTACAGGTTAAATATTTGAAATGTTTGATCTTTTTTCTTTTGTAGTATTACTTTGCTGAGCAATTTTTTTCAATAATTATTGTCATTAATCATTAATTATAGGAAACTTTGACATGTAATTTGTACGTATAAAACTATAATTATTGTAGATTTGACTCCGAATAAGCTTATTTAGGTTGAAAAAATTTCCCTCAAATAAATCTAAACACCCTCCCAAAGACTTATAATCTACGCTACTATAGACTGAATTATTTATTAATTATAAAGATAGGCTTTATTTTTTCTCTATTCCATTCATCACTGATCATAATTAATCTTACTTGAAAACTTATTCATGATTCCATTAAAAAAAAAGAACAAAATAATCTTCTCGTATCTGGATAGTAGGATTTAAAGAATTGACAAAATTTAAAGTTATATATTACATTTGTTAGAAACTCTTGAAAGGGTTTTTAAGGCCTCGGCCTCGAATTTTGCGGGCAGCGGAGCGGCGGCGGCGGTGGCACGGAAACGCATACATTTCTCCAAAATAGCGGGCAGCGGGCACCGCTGTATTCGAGGGTCGGTCCATTTGATTATACGCGTAAGATCCTGCCGCTCCCGCTCCCGCTCCGCTGCCCGCAAAATTCGAGGCCGAGGCCTAAGTCTTCCTTATCACTGTTTTGAAGAAATCTGAACTGGTAGTTTATATAGGGTGCGAGAGAGAATATAGTTTCGTGTCCGGCATTTATTTTTTCAATACCAGTAATAAAAAAAAATGTGATACGGAAAGGTGAAATATTACAACTTCTCGGAATTACAAAAGTAAACAGATTGTAGAAGAACATTTATATCTATAAAAAAATAAAATAGCAAATACTCATTCGTGTATTGTAACATATATAAAAAACAGGAGCCTACTATAAAAGAAATGTTGTTTTTATCAATCAATCAAAACAGTTTTTGTTTATGCCAAGCTTCCATCTGAAAAGATTTAAATATGTATATGTAAACACAAAGGATATTTATGTTTCCGATGGTAAAAACGAACCAAAATCGGTAGACCCATTTGAGTGCTACGATGGCACAAATGAATATAAAAATATACGACGCACATACACAGGAATCAAGATTATACAAATATTTTTTTTCTTAAGTGAATAGTAAAAAATAACACAAAATGTTTTTTCTTTAGCCAAGTATATTATGATGTTGAGAAATAACATAAGGTCAATGGATGACAAACGGATATTCAGACAAACATCGATTAGTCAGGTTTAAAAGATTTTTTGTTGTTACTAATAAAGGAATAAAAAATGAATTACGAATCGTTTAGAATTTTATTGCAATCTTATATTGAAAAAAAAAATTAACTGACTACAAAATTACTTCAACTAAAAACTATGGAACTCGCATTTTTTAAAACATTTAAATAATAACTTTACTGAAATATAGAAATTTACTTAATGCATAATGACTTATCATATAAAATTGTTGAGTCTTTTTATACTTCATATTTACAATGATTCAAAAATGTAATTTTATCATGACCCCTTATCCCTCTACATATATTTTTTTCAATTCACAGTTAGCATCGACTGAAGTGATAAAATAAATATCGTCGTTATTGTCGTCGTCATCAGCCTATCAGAGCCCACTGAGCAAAGGCCTCTTCTCACCTGTAAAAGGTTTGAGCATTAATCACCACGCTTGCTCATGACGGGTTGGTATACTTATAATTGTGAAATTATAAATCCAGGCTTCCTCGAGATGTTTTCCATTATCGTCTTTCTGTGTTGTCTAAATATTCTCAGAAAGTATATATGACTTAGAAAAATTACATTGGTACTTGGGAGGATCGAACCCGCGCTTTCATGCATGAGAGGCGGGCCTTTAACCACTAGGCCACCACTAATTTAAAATAAATATATGCTTCTTAAAGTTTAAGTTCGTGTACCAGACAATAAAAAACTTCAGGTTCTACTGAATGTGACTTAGTAACATAGTCAAAGCCTGAATGAATGTTGAATACTTGCTAAATTATTAAATTAATGTGTGTCTTCATTATCACAAACAACGTCGCAGTCATACATTAAACCCAAATTATTAGTCCCAGGTTGGCACAACTTCTTTACAGAAATTACAAAGTAGCTATGTCACTTAGAAAAGATTTCGCTTTCAGTAAAATAAATGACGAAGTTTTTGAGTTTGTTGCAAATAGATAAACAGATAGACGGCAGCAGCAGACAACCTTATTTTGTAACATGTAACGAAGAAAAAGGTTTATAGAATATTTATGGAAACAGCAACCCAATTAACGTATTATAATTGAAAAGTTTTAAATTTGTAAATAGATAGAACTTACTTTAAATTATCCTTAATAGTTACACATATGAACATCCTCTGTAGCCCTATATAGGAAAAATAATTCTACCATACTTTATACCAGCTATCGTTTTGAAATGTAAAAATAGTGTTTTTTACAATACACTCATTAATGAAAAGTAAAGTTGTTTCCTTATATGTATTATGCATATAAAACTTTAATGTATCTTTCGAAAACCTCATCATAATCAAATCAAAGTTTCAAATATCAAAGAATAATTTAGGACAGACAGAAAGGAAGCTATCTATTTAAAATATACAGTGCTATTTTAACACTTAAGAACTTATGAATAGAATACATTTCATAAAAGATATATTGATATGAAGATACACAGATTATTATTATCTCCATAACACAAGCCATAGCCAAAGCTATGGTAAATAAGGTACATTACCGCATAAATAAATAGAAGACACAATATGTTACAATACCGACAAGTCGTGTAAATTTCATCACGTTTCACAATTGTTGGTTTCATCACGACTTAAGTGTGAGAGAACAAAACATTAATAAGGGCTTTCCTTTTAATTACTAATTTGTTTATCCTTTTTTTCTCTGAGATGTTCAATGAACGACTTTTTCAACCGGATGCTGCCAAAACATTAGCTGCTGTAAATGATTGTTTAACTTTGAAAAATCTTAGTGTTTTTGTCCTAAGGGAACAGTAACACCCTATCAGAAATGCCTTTGTTGTTTGTTTATAAAGTAAAGTCGATGATGAAAAATCCATTTGAGATGCTTCATTTAGCCATCTATAATATGTATGTATTAATAAGGATTTACTAAAGATATAACTCTTAAATCCCCAATAGTTTATTTCATTGAATAATGACAGCCAAATTTGTTATTTAAATCTTTTTTTATTTCATTTAATTTCATTCAAGTTTCATAGACTCTTTACATTATATTGTACTGAATTATATGCATTAATAAGGCTTATGATTATGTTAATAACACATTAAATAAGATAAATAAGGAATTCATATCATATATATTTATAATTTTTTTATTATGTTCAAGTTATTTTTCATTTTATCTTCAGTATCAGATCCACAGGATACCTTTTCGCCACTAATTTAATGACTAAAAAATACATACATTAAATTATTACTGAGAGTAAAATTTTTAGATTAATAAACTTTTGCTCCAAAATAAATATCAAAAATTCAATTCAAACACATTTGCTGTATTTTAGATAAGTACGTCATACTGAGGTTACACGTAGAAGATATTTCTTTGAACACTTTATTTTTGGAAATATTATTTAGTCTTAAATCTCTATCATAAAGAAGAAAAAAGGTGAAACAACAAAAACAGTGCAAATATTTACATCAAATCAACTACTGATTCGTAATGCTGATTCTACCGATAACAAACCAGTTTGGAAGTCTTCGGTTATTTTGCAAAAAATATAAGAATAATAAATCTATTTAATCAACACATAATATATTATTTAATAAGGTCGTATGGGAGGTGTTACAACGTATATTAATTGTATACCCAAAAAATTCTCGATTGTGAATATGCTCATTAATTTTGGGTTATATTCCAACAAATTTGAGAATAAAAACGTGTTAGTCAGTCAATGTCGAACAATTTTTGAATCAATGTTAACTAATAGTTGATTTTTCTTTATGAATGATTTAATCATTTTTGTTTGATGACATTTTACACTGTGACTTACATTACTTTTGTAAAATTTTAAGAAAAGTAAATCAGACCAACATAACATTTTTAAGCACCACGAACAACTTTCTACTTTGTCGTAATGAATGTAAGATCATATGTATGAGTACACGACTCAGTTTTATGAAGTCAGACGAAACCGACGGTCATGGATAGAGTTCACTTCCAAGTCAACGGAGTGCATTGCTCGGGTAAAAATGATGTGTTGAGATGAAGAGCTTTCAATCATTATTGCTCTCAACAATAAATAGTATTAAATCTATTGTTATATATTGTAAGTTATGTACCACTTGTAGTTGGTAACGAGGTGAGTTCCTCTACAACACTGCTGGAGTATCTCCGGAGACACCTGGAGCTGCGCGGTACCAAGTACATGTGTCTGGAGGGAGGATGTGGAGCCTGTATCGTAAACGTCACCAAAAGTCCTGGAGGAGAATCACAAGGAGTCAACTCTGTGAGTTAATTTAAAAACTCATTGACAGTTTAAACCTTTTAACGACCAATATTAAGTATAGTCTGACCTTTCATGACATATTTTGATCGCATGTCCTTTTGTATTATTCTTAATGAATTTAGTGACGTTTTCTTAAAATTGATGTGGTACATTAGTTTTTAAGCATTCACAAATATCTTTAATATCGTAGGAAAGAATACATACGTTATTTATTAAAAAGAAAATAGAAAATTGTAGAAGTCTACACTTGTTCAAAGATTATATACACAGCAAGATTGTGATTTTTACTATAAAACTAATAGCTTAGTCTTGAATGTGTTAAATTTAAAATTTAATTATTATTCGCGGAGCATGAAATATCTTTTCTTTCTTTCTTTAACATTACAATGACCAGTTGAGTCAAGCTTCTATTTAATTAAAATTATAATGTGAACAAGATGCTTTGAATTATACACATTTAGAAACTGCACATTCTTACCATGTTACTTACCGTATAATTTGTAAATATTTCATATGATACGGTGAAAGTTCATTTTAAAAATCATGCTGAGTACAAGTACATATTTCGTTATTTCTTATATTATTAAAACATACTGTATACTTCAACTATTACTATTATATAATTGGAATGATTTATGTAAGTCTCTCAAAGTAAAAGTTAAAACATTTAAACATTAGAGAAGCAGTTTATTGAACTATTATTATTTTTTGCTATCATAATCTTATCTCAGATTTACTAAAAGTAACAAAACTATTCATTAAAAATCTTTATAACTCAGGGCGTGTTTTATAAAATTTTAAACGACTTCTGTTTGTGTCTTTTTAATATCTAATTTTTTTCCTGTATAAATAAATAAAAACAAAAAACTCGTAAAATAAGAAACGTTTCTATTTGATTGTTTGTATTTAATATCATTTGACTAACGTCTACCATAATTAAAAAAACATTAACAATTAACTTCGTTTTCATATCCACATAACTACAAACAAAACATAATTAAAAGATTAAAACTACTGATCTTCCAGCGGATGTAATCACAAAATATTTAAATTTAAACATTGTTGTTTAGTAGAAAAATTATTATTACTCTAACGATTTGAGAAGCGGTCAAACAGGTTACATAGCAGTGCTCAGATGCTTCATAATATTTGTTAAATTACGTATGACTTAAACTTAACAACATTATTAATTTAAAGTTGTATGTTTTAACTTCAATTAATTAAATATTTTTGTATTGTAATTTTTAAATAACATATTTTAAGGATATCAAGGAAGTTTATTTTAAGATGTTGTAGATACAATTAACTATTTTCTTCAAGAACATATTTAAATTAATATATATGTAAATAAAAGTTAATAACAAACATAAATTAAAAATTAAAATAAAGCTTCATTTTTCGTTACGGAACCCTAAACTTATTACGGTCACGAATTTTATAAGTAGGTGTGTACAAAAACTGGATTCAGACGTTTTCAACTCTGTAATATTTTTTAATTAGATATCAATATAACTTTATTGAGTCAATCTTTCCGATATCATAATAATTTAAAGGTCGTAAATAATTAGTTTATAGAGGTATATATTTTTGTATATCACAAAAATAATCAACAAAACAGAACATTTATAATATCGCTGCTAATTAAATAAGGAGATTTTATCGCAAGATGTTAATTTTTTCCATAAAACTTTGTTTAGTAAAGAAATTAACAAAAAAGAGAATGTGTACCTACCATTTAAAAAATTACTTTTTCTATTTTTCTGTTCTCTATGTAACGGTTTTATTTTAGTGTATGGTACCTATAACATCGTGCAACGAGTGGGATATTACAACGATAGAGGGCATCGGGAACCGTCTGCAAGGATACCATCCAATTCAAGTGACACTGGCTGAGAACAACGGTACACAGTGTGGCTACTGCAGTCCAGGATGGGTCATGGCTATGTACAGGTGAAATTAAACTTTAATAACAGAGCAATAAAACTCAATTTATTAAATGACACATCTCGGACATTATAAAAGAGATAACTTTGTTGGTTTCAGTATTCTAAAAAATAAAAAACCGACAATGTTGGAAGTAGAACAGTCATTTGGAAGCAACGTCTGCCGGTGTACTGGATACAGGCCCATCTTAGACGCGTTCAAGAAATTTGCTTCAGATGCTCGCGATATATTAGATATTGAGGATCTAGAAATATGTAAAAAGTCTGGTCGACCGTGTGCGAAGACTAGTTGTGATGAATCTGATTGGTGTTTTGTAACCGAGAATGAAATTAATGAAAAAATGTTACACATTGTATTAAACGATAATAGGGATTGGTTTAAGGCAACATGTGTAGCTGATATATTTGATGTTTTCCAAGCAAAGGGTACACAATCTTATATGTTGTTGGCTGGTAATACAGGAAAAGGTAAAAATATTTCTTTTATTATTTATTTTGGAAAAATTATTTTTCCTTTTTTGTGCAGATTCCCAGTTGAGACTTCACGCGATCGGAGTATTAACGTTTGGTGTCCAAGTTATACTGTTACTGCTATCCCGTTTGAAAATAAAATAGTTACATGTCTCAAACGACTTTATTGAACTCAAGCTATTAACATAAATTTGGCTACCATATACAGTATCAAAATATTATCTCAATTGTGTTTGACAATTAACTCATAATAGATATTAAGATAGTTAGACCTAGACTAGTTTTTGTTTAACGTTTGTAGAGTATTAAGGTAAAATAATGAATGTGCACAGTTATAGGATTTAGGTCAAATAATTAATTAATTCGTGTACATAGGGATCAAGCCGGACCAAACCGGTCTATTCCTATATAATAGTACTGATTTTTCGAGATGATAAATACTAGAAACAAGTAGTAGCAATTTAAGTACTATTTCTTACAAATCACAGCTTTGTAAGATTCCTATGTATTATAAGTTTTAGGGTTAAGATGGTCATCAAGATTTATTTTATTTCTGCTGAATATGATTATAAGATGGAGGTAAATCATAAAATATTATCTTATTGTTCACTAAGCTGTGGTTAGGCACAATAATATTAACGAGACGTAGGACACTTCCCACGCTAGTCATTCCTGCAGTGGAGATGCTAGTTAAGCCCAAGTTAATAGAGGTTTACTTGTCATTCTAGGTTGGATCAAACATCAGCCTAGAGTCTTTTCCTGGTTATCACAAAAGCTACCGTACTAATAACATTTATAAATATTTAAATGAATATCCAAGAGAAAAGTAGGTTATAAAAAAGATGTATATATTTTGATGATAACAAAAAAAATATCACAAGAGAAGGAAATTATATCTAGCATAATTCACCGTCATTTAATAAAATGTCATACGTAATTGCACATAAACCCTGCTATATTATACTTGTGGTTGTTTACTTCAAACAAATAACCTTTTGTGGGGTAGAATGTAAAGAGATGTCTATAGAAAATATTTTGACGTTTTAAAATTGTGACTAGTGAGAAACGTTATTATTTGCTGAATATTTAATTTTATATAAAGTATACAGAAAAAATGTTACATACAAATGTTTTCACATAATTTACAAATGGATATAAGAAACAAATACAATTTTAAATATTTCAGGTGTGTATCCAATATTGGAGTATCCAAGAGTATTGATAAATGTAAATGATGTCAGGGAGCTAAGACAGCACTATATTGACCAAAACTTGGTGATTGGAGGAGGAACGACCCTTACAGAACTGATGGACATATTCGATACAGTAGGCCGAGTTAATTTCTTTGGATATCTGAACATATTAAACGATCACTTACAAGAGGTTGCCCATATTCCTATTAGAAATGTACGTATTGTTATTATTAGTAATCTAAAACTTATAAGAGTCTAGTTATGTATAGTTGTACATAATCTGATAAAATTAAGATAAAATATTTTATTTGGATTAAAATAATATTTAATTTGAGGCTTGAAGGCTTAAAAGCTTGTTCTTACTAATGTAATGTACATCTTAATAGATGTATGTATTGATATTCCTGTTGTTGAATTTCAGTGAGATTTATTTTATTCTCACACAACAGAAATAGTAAGAGAGATAAGAAAGTAAAGGCTAGTTTAAAGTTTCATAACACTTTCTCCCTTTATCATGATTTCTATTAGTTAAGTCTATCGTGAATTCAAACGTAATCATAAGTTTATCACTCAACAATTCCTCTCTTATATCGGATTAAAAGTGAAATTATTTATTATGAATAGTCTTCCCAGCTTATCCATTTATTCCTCCCCTTTTTATAAGAGATTATAAAACGTAAATATTCGTTTTTTTTAAATCTACCGATGTCTCAGATGGAATTAGAATGAGCGTTGAATTTACAATGGCGACACTTAGCTTAAATTTTTTAGCTAGAATAAATAAGTATGCTTTATTTATCTTTATCCATTTGGAATTAACACACCTTGACATACAATATACGGAATCAGAAAGATTATAGAATGATTTATTTATTTTCTATTTTCAGAATGCAACCATCGCTGGAAATCTTATGTTAAAAAATTTACATCCTGATTTCAAATCCGATATTTTCATACTTTTGGAAACTGTTGGAGCTCAATTAACTATACGTAAGTACTTATTACGCACTATACAAAACACTATGGGTTCAATTGTATTTGTGGTTTATCTAATTATAAATGACCTTACTTATGAAATAACGGCGTCAGATTTAAGATTTTAGTACATATTATTACGCTAAGTAAAGTAACCAAAAGGTAGGATAAAATATAAAACAATGTACAAAGTCTTTTAGCATATTACAAAATTATAATTTCATTTATTTAGCTTCAACTTTATTACATTTTAAAAGAAAATTATTAAAGATCAAAACACCAAGAAAAGCATAAAGATCTCTAAAGTGTACTTTGAATCCTTGTAATAATTTTTAGCAACTTTTTTTGCATTAACATTGCAATGTTCTTGGGTTTTAAATACAATATATGCATTGTTTCAGTGACTGGTCGCAACCAACGAAAGATCATCACAATGCAATCGTTTCTTAGAGAAAATATGAATGGAAAAATATTATTAAATGTGTTGCTTCCACCGCTGAGTACTGAAAATAAGATAGTAACTTTCAAAGTAAGTTATTAGAAAGTTCCCAAAACCATTCATGTTTGACAGTTATTTGAACTAACCCAATAATGTTTTTAAGTATAAGTTCTCCGTAAACATAAAAAATATTTCAGATAACGCCACGCTCTCAAAGCGCCCATGCTCTTGTCCACGCTGGATTTCTCTATAAAGTGGATCATAATGAAAGAGTTGTAGAAAGTAGAATAGTATATGGAGGATTGTCGCCATCATATACCAGATCATGGAAAACAGAAAGATATTTGGTCGGTAAACAACTTTTAAGGAATGAGACGTTGCAGGGAGCTTTAAACGTTCTTAACACAGAACTGATAGTTACGGAAAGTCTTCCAGATCCCTCCGTACAGTACAGGCGACAAGTGGCTTTAGCACTTTTCTATAAGGTAAAGGAAATACAGTTAATCAGAAAATTGGAACCAATGTACTCAAGTTTAACTTTGTTAACCAATATACTAAAGTTGTGTAGAACTATTTTGGGTTTTTTGGGTTTTTTGTTTTTTGGGTTATTTGGGTTGCTGTCAATATTTATGAAGATCTTAAAATATTAAAAAATATATATTTATATTGTTCTATTAATGCTATTGATAAATGTGAATTCAAATATAAAATTTCGGTGACGGGCTTCAATAAAAAAAACTTACAATTCAAAGAAACAACCCATTTTTGGAATTTACAACTCAGTGTCAATTATTGTTATTTTTGTATTCACTTAATGTTTACTTAATTTTGTGTCCCCCCACCAATAATTAGGTTTGCCTTCATTTGCTCTCAAACATTGTTGAAATATAATAATTTGCTTACAACTGGTACTAAAAAGATATTATATGTAGTTTTAAATAAATCCAAAAAATTAATGTTTAACTTTTATATAATTTCAGGGTCTCCTTTCTCTATGCCCAGAAAACCGATTAAATCCTCGTTATGTATCTGGGTCCAGCAAAATTCATAAAACAAGACCAGTGTCTGAAGGAACTCAGATATTTGATACGAATCCAACTTTGTGGCCTCTCAACAAACCAATACCCAAACTGGATGGTCTGGTAAATATTTGTTTGTCTTTAGCTACATTGTAATGTATTATACTCATTATTTTTATTTTGGAATCCAGATTCAGTGTGCCGGTGAAGCAAAATATTCTGAAGACGTTCCAAGACTTCCGGGAGAAGTGTTTGCTGCATTTGTTTTAACAACTGTAGCACTGGGAAAAATAACACATATTGACGCTAGTCGAGCATTGGTAAGCATATTATAGTTTAATCTAAATTATAAAAGGCACAAGGTTATTTATAATTTTTCCACCATTCCATTGATTATTGCATCTTGAATCCAGCCTTAACAGTTTTATTGTTATATTATTACTAATATTTAAGTTATCTGCAGGAGGAACCAGGAGTAATAGCATTTTATACAGCAGCAGATATCCCTGGCAGAAATAGTTTTATACCTGCAGTTAATATTTTTAACGCAGCTGATGAAGAGTTTTTGTGCAATGGAGAAGTTAAATACTTTAATCAGCCCCTTGGAATTATTGTTGCCGAATGTCAAAGCATTGCAGACAAAGCCGTGCATCTAGTAAAAGTTACTTATACCGATATTAAGAAACCAGTTCTTGACATCAAGGTTGCTAAAAATGATCCCTCAAAACTGAAATTATTTCAAGCAATACCCGCAACTTCTGCTGGTACAGATATAACTAAAGTAATAAAAGGTGAACATAATATCTATACGCAATATCACTTTACTATGGAAACCTTGGTTAGTGTGACACATCCTACAGAAGAAGGTTTAAGAATATATGCAGCAACACAATGGATGGATTCAGTTCACGTAGTGATTTCAAGAGCTCTCCTATTAGATCAAAACAGGTAATTGACTAACTTTTGAATAAAAAATTACTTTTGAATAAAAATTTATAACTTTTATTCAAAAGTACGGCTCTAAGTTCCATTAAAACATTTTTTGTATTTAAATAAATAAGTTTATCATATTCTCGATAATATGTTATCTAATAATGTTAAATAATTGAAATTATATTTTTCAGAATAGATATTCATGTCCGTCGTTTGGGTGGTGGGTATGGCTACAAGTTATCAAGAGTTACACAAGTGTCTCTAGGAAGTGCTTTGGTTGCATACAAACTCAATCGACCTTGTCGGTTCATACAAAGTCTTAGTACTAATATGAGAGCTACCGGGAAACGATTGCCATGTTCTACAAATTTTGAGGTACTCTTTTACTACTTCCCTCAATAGATATTCGATTGAATTTTGTAATAATTATTTTCTTTTCCAATTGATCTAATGAGTTCCTAATCACTTTATGACGAGTACAAAATACTTTTTCAATTTTTTCATAAATTGCCATGAAATTAACAAATTATCGACACAGATTTCAGTTAATAAGACGGGAGTAATACAAAAAATAAACTATGATCTCTATAGTGACAATGGCTATATAATAAATGAAACTCTCATACTTCTGGGGGTTGGTTTGTATAACAACGTTTACAAGAGTGACACATGGAACTATAACGCGTATGATGTCATCACAGACACTCCCTCGAACACTTGGTGTAGATCTCCAGGTACCTTATGCTATGATTTTAAACTAATATCATAATGATACTCATTATATTTATACATTGTTCAATGTTCACTTTTTGATTTCATCTAGGTACTTTGGAAAATATAGCAATGTCTGAATTATTAATGGAAAGAATCGCTTACGAGATGAATTTAGATCCGCTTGATGTTCGTCTAGCAAACTTGGATACAACAAAATATAACGATATACTTGAAATGCTTGAAACATTGAAATCTAATTCACAATATGAGGAACGTAAAATAATAGTGGACCAATTTAATAATGAAAATAGATGGAAGAAACGTGGTTTGAGATTTTCGTTTTTGAGATGGGATCCCATTGGAACTCAATACTTAGAGGTGAATATGTGTGTTTATTACGATGATGGAACTGTTGCTATTACTCATGCAGGCATCGAAATGGGACAGGGAATTAATACTAAGGCTATTCAAATAGCGGCTTATTTCCTCAAAATTCCCATAGAGAAAATTCAAGTCAAAGCCAATGATACCATTATTGCACCTAATTGTTTTGGATCTGGGGGAAGTATAACGTCTCAAAATATAGGAATAGGTGTACAAAGATGTTGTGAAGAATTACTAAGAAGACTTGAACCAGTTAAAAACACGTTAAATAACCCAACTTGGGAGGAATTGGTCAAAAAAGCTTATGAAATGAATGTAGATTTACAAATACATGATTTGGTGAGTGCTAAAGATGAACAGAAATATAATATCTACGGTGTAACCCTATCCGAAGTTGAAATAGATGTTCTGACTGGTGAATGGGAAATAATAAGGGTTGATCTAATTGAAGATGTTGGTAGAAGTGTCAATCCTGAATTGGATCTCGGCCAAGTAAGTTGAATAATGTGATACATTATGAATTTGTACCAATTGCCCTATTTTTATGTATTGTAATAAAACTTATCCTGTTATCAATTCTAGATTGAAGGTGCTTTTATAATGGGTGTCGGTTATTGGACCACTGAAAATATCGTGTATGGTCCTGAAAATGGTGAAATCCTCACGGACCGCACATGGGAGTACTGGGTACCTGGTCCTAAGGACATTCCTCAGGACTTTCGGGTCTATTTCAGAAAAAGATCTTTTAGTACGGAGAAAATTTTAGGAGCTAAAGGTAAAACCAATTTTAACCAATCGACTCCTCACATTGCAATAATTTTAGATTAAATTACTTAATGCTCCATCTTTTTAATGGTTTCACTTCTATTGGATGTAGCTTTTGTAATTATTTTCTAATACTTTGATTCAACAGCATCTGGGGAACCTGCAACATGTATGGGAATATCAGTGCCATTTGCTATGAGAGCAGCTATAGCTTCAACAAGGAAGGAGTCTGGAATGCCTGAATGGTTTCAATTAGGTAAGGCCGTGTAATTTTATAAACCAAATCAGTTTTCATTATATCATACTTATATGGTAGACGCCACAATTCACTGTGAGCCTAGTCATCACACTTGCCTTGAAGACATCTCACTTGTAGGTTCCAGACGCAGGCAAACCGGCCCTATTATGTTTTTAAAGACCAGTGTTTATTTTTTTTTCAGATGGCGCTTTCACAGTTGATAAAATTGCACTCGCTTGTGCTACAAAGTTTGAAGATTTTAAGTTTTACTAAACACTTTGAACCAACATCTTTATAACAAAAGAGAAAATGTATAAGAGAGTTATAACATTGGAAGTACCTCAAAGAAGATTTCTTCAACAATCCTTTTGAATGACAAGTGTACAAATTATATTTTATATTATAATTCAGCTGTCATACTTATGTATAAAGAAAAGTAAAAAACTTGCACTAGGACCCATAACTGTCCCTTAATTAAAAGTTTAATGGACGAGATACTTGTGTTGTTGTTGATCAATAGTCGTATAGGAATCGTGAAATGAACTATTTTACGAACTAGATTTATATAAAAAAATAATCATTAATAAATTGTCGGTTATTTAAAATGAAAAGAGAAATAGACATCTGTCTATAAGTAAAAAGAATGGGGACGGCCTTCACCAATATAAAATATGATAAACTTGTCAACTGGTTGATGAAATCGAAGAATTACTGAAATATGATGAGACCTGTTTGCAACATACCAAGATTATATAAAAAACATACTATGAGCAGACAGAATTATTGTTAAAATCATTTATATACTTCACATTTACAAATATATGTCCTAAACTTACATGGACTTATAATTATAAAATATATAATATTTAAGAAATAATATCTTATTAAGTTTTATTTTGTTATATACAATTGAAGATCACGCAGAACTAAAGAACATCTAGCTTAAAGATAAGCCGCAACTATTTAATAATATAAGCATTCTGTTTAGCAATAAATATTATAAATTATTATAAGTAATAAACAAATTGTAACATATGTAGATTTTTTTATATAATACTCCAATGCCCGCATGAAGTTATCACCTGGCCTAACACTCTCAATAGTAATATCGTAAGAAATTATAAAGATGTCACTGTCTCTCCTACTGGAGTCTTTAGTGTAAAATTGTGAATCGGCTTTCCTTGACCACGACAATATTTTTCTAGTAATTTAGTAGTATAAGATTATGCTTGAAGTGGAGAGTAACATATTGTCAGTAAATATCCCTCTATTTACTTAATTTTACATTCAGGTTCATTTAGGGCAGTGTTTTTTAATATCGCGATCTATTCTGATGTGGATTTTAAATACTACATCAGATTAAAACCACAAAAAAAGTTGTATGTAGTAATGCATTGAAGAATTATTAAAACGACGATCAATGGACAGTCATCGAGAAAACTTATGCTTATGCTTATGTATGTTTTATGGAAAAAAATCAAATACAATTTGCTTTAAATAAGGGTTGGGAGGGACTTCGAGATGTCGGAAGATTTAAAAGTACAACATAGGTATCGCGCTGACCCAACAGTCTCATTTTTTGTCAACAGAAAAAGACTGTAGGTCGTAATGTAAAATAGTCTGGTTTTAAAGTATATTAATACCAGCACGTATATATAAGTATGTTCGTATGTGTAGGTGGAATTCTTGAAAGAGTGGCTTCCTCTCTACCTAGCTTTCTTCCACCAGGAATAAAGGTAGATTACCAACGCCTTCGTATTAAAATTATGTTGATCTTAATAAAATAAAAATTAATATAATTTTCATACAGTGACGTCTAACATTTCACTGTTATATCTTAAATACATAATTATTTATTATTATATGTATGTGCAGTGTCATTTTATGTACTCTAAATAGAGTTTATGATATTATATCCATCATATTATAATTATTAAATTGTCATCAGCCTATCAGATCCCACTGCTGCTGATCAAAGGCCTCTTCTCACATGGAGAAGGTTTGAGCATTATCACCACGCTTGCCCAAGACGAGTTGGTGATTTCAAACTTATAATTTTGAAATTATAGGTTCAGGTTTTCTCAAGATGTTTTCCTTCACAGTCTGTCAGTGGTGTCTAAATATTCTTAGAAAGTACATATGACTCGGAAAAATCACATTGGTACTTGCCAGAATTGAACCCGCGCCCTCTTGCACAAGAGGCGGGCCCTTTAACCACTAAGCCACCACTGACTTACTAGGCCACCAGTGAATTAATTTTATTATTATTACTATACAATTATTAAATATGTTTCTATAATTCATTTTACTAATTCACTAATTGCAGCTGAAGCTCGCGAAACCGTTATTGATAAATATCTTATCATCCCCGAGTTCACAGATTGATAATATGTTCGTGTAAATTATTTTACATTTCATTACTGAATTGCATCAGTTTCAATGCGGTATTGTTTGTTTTCGTGATTTAAAGGATTGTACGTCAACCAGTTGTTATTGTAATGTAGTAACACAGCTAAGTGTATTGTACCGGAATAAAGTTATATTGATCTAAAGATTGACCAATAGATGTATACATATTTCATGAAGTACGACAATATGAAGACATCGTTAAAGAGCATAATTCAATGTCACATAGAGTATTTCAAGAATATTAGTACATTTTTTTATCGTCACTTTAATGTAAAAAGTTTCAACATTTTTCGTACATACATATGCAATTAGTAAAATTAATGTATGCGACAATTTAGAGATCAAATTTCCTAACATTCAATGGATCCACAAACCAGTTAGTGGACGATGGACCAGTAAGAATATCATTTAAAGTAGAGAAATTGTAACGGACCGTACATAAGAATATTGGCTACCTGGTGCAAAGGACATTCCTCAGAACTTTAGAATCTATTTTAGAAAAAATCTTTAAGTTATAGGTAAGCTTTGTAACCATTGAAACGTTAAAATTCCATTTATTATATGGCTGACTTATTTACTTACATACAAAATAACCGTTTAGTTGATTGCCTGTAAAGAGAAGCAGCATAAGAAGCTATTGCTTCAAACATCAGTTTTTATAACCTTTTTTTTTTGTTAAGGGGAAAATCATCAAATGACCCCTCTTGTCCTGGGTGGGGCAAGAGGGAATGTCAGACTCTTACTGACTAAAAACCCCCCGTACCTACTCCTGCTCCGAGCCTGGCCGCGGTACATCATTGCGCTTAAACCCGCGCCTCGGCCTGGCATCGGCTCTAGGGCCCCATATGTGGTGGTTCGATGGCTCTTTGAGGCGCGCGCGGTACGCTACGCGCCGTACGCTCGGGTCTGGTTCTGATCGGTCTCAAGCCATCCTTGCTCGCCGTCCGCAGACCCGCGCTTACGGTGGCTGGAGATAGTTTTTTATTACCTAAAATATTTAATCAGCCAAGCTCAGAGAATTTCTTTATCATAGAATGAATATAATGCAAAATGTTGCCACTGCAGACAATCATTTGGCGTTTAGAGGTAAATAAACAAGCGGGTAATTTAAATTTAGTGAGGGTACAAACTATAATTAATTACTTAAATCATAGTAGTGCAATCATTGGGCTTTATATTAATAAAGATATAGAGAACATCATATATTTCATATATATAATATATTTATAATAAAAAAAGGGTTTAACAAAAACGTAAATTTAATAAACCGACATAGTCGATAGTGAAATTGACAAAACTTAAGAAAATAAATGTCATGATAAAAGTTAGGTTAATTTAAATAAAGAATATAAGTTATTTTGTCTGTAAAATAATTCTTATAAAATTAGAAAATATGTATTAAATCCAAAATGCTAATTAATTAACTCTGAACGGAAAAACCATAAGTGGTCTTATAAGAATATCGTATTTAAAAGAATAATCCTTTAGATTCACTACTTTTTATTGTTAAGTATTAGAATTCTTTCACCTGCTTTTTTCATGAAAACAAAAATTCTTCTTTTAAATTTTGAGTTTATGAATTAGTAAAAGTATGTCTCTGTTAAACTACACATTGATTAGTTCTGTTTATAGAGATAGTTTATGTTATTATAAATTAATAAGTGATAGATAGGTTGTCCATTTAAGTCAGAGGTGGCCTAGTGGTTAAGGGCCCGCCTCTTAGAGGGCGCGGGTTCGATCCTGGCAAGTACCAATGTGATTTTTTCGAGTCATATGTACTTTCTAAGAGTATTTAGTTTATTTACCACTGATTAATGCATTCCCAAAGAGGGTTGATGTCAGGCAGGCGGCCGGTCATATAAACAATTAGCCAAAACTATTCACAACATGTAAGGCAGACCCTGGTTAAAGCTGAGAAACTGCTAGGTAGAAGAAGATAGTTTGTCCATTTAATATCGACAAAATTGTATTTTTATACGCCCAGAAGTCATACAAATTTTCCTTATAGTAATAAATAAAGGTTGTTTATAATGCTTACTTAGTTTAATACAAGCCACTCTGAAGTGAAAGAATTTTAAGCATAGGTATATTATATAAATATATACACACAGATGTTTAAACGGTTTTATTTACATTGACCTATTTGTTTGGGTCAAATTTAGAGATTGAAGTTTTACCCCTTTCCTGTTGACATATCAAACATCATTTCATCAGATCAATAACTTTTGGTATTAATTTTTAGTTTTAATAGAAATGGGATGAAATTTACTCAGAATCATTATAAATCCAAGGTAGCTAGCTGTCTTTTAAAATGGCATTTTTTTCACAACTCATTAAAACTAAAATGTTTTAAAAAATAAAGGTAATTATTAAGCAAATGAAATAGTCAATAGTTTCCTCACATCATTTCCTTTGAGTTTGTATAAACTAAGTATCGTGTATGGTGTTACGGTGATTATTGTATGTTATTATACTAGCGGGATGTCGTGTTAAATAGAAAAGCAAAGTATAATAAGAGAATAGTCAGTCGCAGGATGTCATGCAACTTGTAGTCATGGATAGAATACATTTTAAGATAAACGGACTACGCTACTCAGGTATGGAAAGTT